TTCAAAAACGTAATTTATTTATTTCAGTTTGCATGGCTGCTTGCTTATCATGCAACTCTGGACAATTAACAGCTTTTTTTTTTAAATTAAAAAAACACAAAAGAAATAATTAAATAGCACATTGAATGCAATTCACATTCAAAACATTATTGGCTTGCATAATATCCTGGCCAGTGCCTTCAAGGGCTTTTCTTCAAGGCCAGCAGGGGTCGGACCATCCAAATTTCAAGGGGAATGTTGTACAATAGGGAAGGCATGGTAACAGAGAATCCTTTGCAAGTGAGAATGCATGACCCCTGGCCCCTGATGAGATGATACTGTTAACTGATGAGGCCTGGAACATTCCAACCCTTTGAATTTTGTTGGAACAGCAATTGGATACAAATAATCATGCAAATATCCAGATCATGTGCTATTAAGGACTTTTCAAGTGACTACAAAAAATATTGAATGGTATTGGAATCTCACTGGCAACCAGTGCAGTTCATGCAACAATAAACATATCCATGTGTACCCCCACAGCACTGCATTCTGGACTAGATGGAGTTCTGAGTGGCCTTCAAATAAAATCCCACATAATGTGCACTGCAATACTCTAAATTCAAAGTCACTAAGGCTTTGTAGGTAAGGTTCTACATTTAGAGAAGAAAAACAAAATGCACAGGTACCGTATATGTGGTACCTTGCTCAATAGTAGTAACTGTGAGAGGGATCTTGGAGTCCTAGTGGACAACCATTTAGATATGAGCCAACAGTGTGCAGCAGCTGCCAAAAAAGCCAACACAGTTCTGGGCTGCATAAATAGAGGGATAGAATCAAGATCCCATGAAGTGTTAATACCGCTTTATAACACCTTGGTAAGGCCACACTTGGAATATTGCATTCAGTGGCAATATTGTAAAAATGATGTTGAAAATGTAAAAGACGATGTAAAAAAGATGTTGAGACTCTAGAAAAAGTGCAGAGAAGAGCAACAAAGATGATTAGGAGACTGGAGGCTAAAACATATGAAGAATGGTTGCAGGAACTGGGTATGTCTAGTTTAATGAAAAGAAGGACTAGGTGAGACATGATAGCAGTGTTCCAATATCTCAGGAGTTGCCACAAAGAAGAGGGAGTCAAGCTATTCTCCAAAGCACCTGAGGGTAGAACAAGAAGCAATGGGTGGAAACTAATCAAGGAGACAAGCAACTTAGAACTAAGGAGAAATTTCTTGACAGTTAGAACAATTAATAAGTGGAACAACTTGCCTGCAGAAGTTGTGAATGCTCCGACACTGGAAATTTTTAAGATGTTGGTTAACCACTTGTCTGAAGTGGTGTAGGATTTCCTGCCTGGGCAGGGGGTTGGACTAGAAGACCTCCAAGGTCCCTTCCAACTCTGTTATTCTATTCTATTTTATGGCATGAGTGACTAAGAATATGGTCTCCTCATCAAGTAATAGGGCCATTTGGCAAAACATGATTTATGCAATGGTCCTCCTAGATATGTCTGTACAACTACATTCAGAACTAAAAAGGAAAAATCTCCAGATCTAAATGATTCCCAAAGCCACTTGATCTTGCTAGAGTTAAACCTCAGACTGGTCCTTTCTATCCAGGCTCCTCCCCTTCCCCCACCTCTAGACACTGAGACAGAAAAAAAAATCTGCAATTGACATACAGGTAATCCTTGATTTACAACCGTAACTGAGCCCAAATTACAGTCATAAATCAAGGTACCAAGTGACTGGATTTGAATTTATCGCTGTTTTTTACAACAGTCATTAAGTGAATACCATGATCTTTAAGCCAATCCATTTTCCCCAATGGGTATTTTGTAACTTTGAATGGTTTTTAAATAACCAGTTTTAGCTGAGGACTGTATGTATACAATTGGGTATCAACCTTTTCCTCCTAACCCAGTCAACCCAAACCATGATTGTATTATGTGGCCATTTGTCATTATAATATGGAAAAATGTGAAATCGAAAAAAATAAAAATAGCTAAGAGTCAGGTGATATGCAATTAAATTATCCTTTTAAAAATTTGCGTATGTCCAGGCTTTGTCACTGAAAAAGTAACTCACAAATCCTTGTTTTAAAATTCTTCTTGAAAATTATAAAACCTATTTCTTGAACCATTGACCAATATAACATAATGGTAGAATAAAAAATAATAAGAAAATGGAGAAGTAGGGGAAAAAAATCAGTCCAACTCATTGAACTTTGTAACCAAGTTGTGTTTTGAACTGGGATTTGAGCTGAGAATCAAATCATTCTATTGGCGCAATAACTTGCACATGCTGGTAAGCTATTGCAGAGCGTTATACTTATTCAATGGCCACTGTTTTAACTATGATTAACGGACCACTAGATTCTATTTTTTTAAAAAAATATGCTGTAGTTTCCCAGTAGTCCTGACACCAGCATATGCTTGACTTGAATTTAAATGTATTATTTAAATAATTTGATCTCCACAGCATGTTGGTTGCAATTTCCATAATTCTTTCTGTGATTAAAGACTTAATGATAATATAGATTACTTTCTAGATGCTGAAATACGACTCCCACAATTCTTTACCACTGCCAATGTTAACACTGGGAATTGAAGTCTATAACTGCTGGGGAAGGTATCAAGCTGCCTAACCTGCCTAACCTCAATATAGTTAATGGATTTATGGAAAGTGTAGTTTGACACGCCCAAAAATTACCAATGTTAAGATTTCAAGAAGGCCAGCATTAAATTTCTAATAAGTGCATGACGGATCTGACATCTCAGTGTTTCTAACGTTATTATCACTGAGGGCTACAAAAAAAAAATAATAATACCCATCTTTGTAGAGCAAAATGTAATTACTATTGCACTACAGGAGCAGTAATCTGCTAGCCTTTTTTTCCCCCCCTAGCTTTAGACACACAATTTCCTACTAACCAGTTTTCTAACAGTTTCAATTTTTATTATTTCAGTTTAGCAAGATATGTGTGAAAATTATTCTCAGGACTGGCCTAGATACCCCCCAAAAAAGGGTCCCTTTAAAAAAAAAAAAGCGGTGGAAATGATTAGTTTGTAGCCAAAAGGAGCCTGTTCCAACCAGAATAAATCACCTTCAGCCATTCAGGGTGGCCTCCAGGATTGCAAAGAGTGCAGTTCAGGTCATCTGGAGGGAACGAGGTGGGGAAGGCTAGCTCCGGTCCCAACGCCAGGGCCAGGCACACACCTGTGAGAGGCAATCCTCGTGTATACAGCCAATTTGGGGCTATTTTTTCCTCTCCCAGGACGGGCTATGTCCACCACGCCTTTCCTGATTGAGGAACAACATTATAATTTTACCTTATACTATCTAGCCTTACAAGAGAGAGCTCCCTCCCCTTCCCCACCCACCCCCACCCCACCACCCACCCCGTATCTCTTAGTCCTCAAGCCCTCCTGCTCGATACCTCAGACCAGGTTTTTTAGTCTCACAACGTCCCCAAGACCAACTCGCTCCTCCGCTAGGTTGAACGATCCCAACACGGTGGCTTTTTTTTTTTTTTCCGCCCTGCCGTAAGTTACGTCACTTGCGTAGGTCAGCGCATGCGCTTCCAAGTCGAAAGAGCAGAAATGGGGTAGTGGCTCTTCGAAAGGGTGGGATGTTAGAAGAGAGAGAGAGAGAGAGAGAGAGACGACGTTCCTTAAAAGGGTACCTGGCTTACCTCCAGGTCTTGGCGAGCTTCTTTGCGTTTTGATGATTTAATTAGGCGATTGGAAGAGAGGGGAAAGAAGGACTGATATTTTCCTTGTTCTGAGAAAGTATGCATCTTGTTTTCTGCGGGCGTACAGCAGGGATTTAGGGTGAAAGCAATGTTGTGTGTGACGCTTTTTATATCGGGCTCTAAAAGTCAAGTTTAGCTAAATCTATCTCTCCCCATCCCTTTCTTTCTTTCTTTTTTTTTTTTTTGCTTTAATTTATATGCCGCCCTTCTCCGGAGACTCAGGGCGGCTTACAGTGCGTTAAGCAACAGCCTTCATACTTTTGTATATTTTATACAAAGTCGGCTTATTGCCCCCACAATCTGGGTCCTCATTTTATCTACCTTTGAAGGGATGGAAGGCTGAGTCAACCTTGAGCCTTGGTGAGATTTGAACTTGCAGTAATTGCAAGCAGATGTTAATAACAGTGCTTTAGTCCACTGTACTACCAAGGCACTGTACCAAGGTAGTCCACTGTACTACCAAGGCTAAATTTGTATTTAGAAAGGGAGATTAATTCTCCCATACCATGACATTTTAGCCCATCAACTGGTATTTGTTGACGCAGAGATATTTTTGGTAAAAAACATGGAACTGTTTTGTGGCACCGTATACAATTATTCTGGCATAATCTTTCAGGATAAGTGCTCATGTCAACTGAAGGACAACTATGTTTGTTAGATTGCAATCTAGTAGATGCTTATACCTGAGAGTAAACACCGCTAACTATAGATGCTTTGAGGAAAATGATCTCAATTAATCTCAATTAATTTGAGGTTCAACATATGGTATCAGTGCTCCACCTATTAGCACTTCCCCTAAACAGTGGCTAAAACATAGTGAAAGTGAATTATCTCTGTTTCACTTATAGCATACCCTGCATGCAATTAAATATGTACACCTGGATTGTGCTATCACTGATTTTCCATTTTATGACCTGAAGCATTCCAGTATTCAAAACAATTGTAAGGTTTATCAACAGTATGTGCGGCTCTTCATATATTTAAGAGGGTATATATTTCTTGGGTTGCATTTTTTTCCACACTGCCCTTTCATATTTCTTCAAGAAATGATCTCGATTCAAAAAAGAATCTACAGAATCTATAGAGTCCAAGGGTGGTGGTGGGGGGAAAGGGCAGAATTGTATTTTTTATAGATTTGGAGAAATAAATGCATGCTCCGTGCGTTATGCTACTCTAGATTTTTAGATCTACGTTCCTCTCAGAGTTTATGGCTGGTATCTGACGTCATCAAAGTGCGCAGGGCAGAGTAAAGGCCCGCGTTTTGAGGACGAGGTTTATGTGTGCAAGGGCCCTTCAAGAGCAGAGTGTCGGTCTATTATATGCGTGACGTCTGTACGTCACGGTCATTTCAGCAGGCAACCTCCTCATTTGTACATTACAGCAATCGAGCAAAAGAAAGGAGGGAAGACAGTTCCCCAAATACCCTAGTAATAACCGGTAGGTTAAACGGAACAGAAGCAGAGAAAAGAGGCAGAGCAAAAGGCCTGAGGAGAGCCTGGAGCCTCCTGGGTTTGGCGGTTGGTTAAGGAGGAAAAGGAGGGGGCGGGGCTGAGGCCTAGTCGGGGCACGTAAACATTTGAAGCTCATCGTTTTCACTTTTTCTCCCATCAGGTAACCTCCTTTTTGTGTCTTCGGGCCGGCCTCTGGCCCGCCTCGAGGTGAGTAAGAGACCATATAAAATCAGTTTGGAAGAGAGTAGATTTGAGAAGCTAATGTAGATAATGAATGTTCGACTCTTCAAATAAATGATCTTAACTACATTTTGGCATCCTTAAAGCACTTACTCCTGGAAACAAGTGATGGGTGATTCTTAGTCTTATGCTAAATAGTATAGTGAGTTGCTTAGTCCATGATGTTATATTTATTTGTTTGTTTATTAATAAATAAAACAACAGTGCTGATTTTTCTGTATTAGGCTAGTTTTTAATAAGTAGGACATAATTTATCATATTATAAATATCAATTATTTAAGATTGAGTGGGAAATCTTGGATTGGAATGGAGAGTAGGAGGAAATTCCTTTTCTCTCTTTTTTACAATGATTAAATATTTAGAAGATGAGGAGCAGAGGAGGGACCACTGAATATTAAAAAAAAAAAATCATGGTGAAAAAATGTTTAGAATAGCCACTACTCTGTTGCAGTTTGTCAGTGTATGGAAAGAAGCAAGTAGTTCAGGGGGAAGTCTAGGCTTTCAATGAATTCATTCACCTGAATGAATAAAAGGGTGGCAAAATTATTTTCCTTTACTATATACAGAATCAATTGAAAAAGAATGTACCAAGAAAAAAATGAACTCACTTCCTCTTTAGTGGAACATCTCTTTCCCATCTCTCAAAAGGATTGTTGCTCCAGTATCTGATTTTAGTTACAATAAATGGTAAAAAGCAACTATGTTAAGTCCTTAACAAAAGTAGAATCCTTGTCTTAGTAAACAAAATATTTCCATTAAATTAAGATTTAATTTGCCCATTTGGAATTTTTAAGTTAATGCCCTCTAAACCGTGTGTCCCTGAAAATAAGATCCTGTCTTATATTTTTTTGAAAATAAGCACTTGGCCTTATTGCCATGTGCTCAGAAGCCTGATTGGGCTTATTATCAGGGGATGTCTTATTTTGGGGGAAACAGGGTAAATATAATGGTACTTGTTTTGATGGACTTTCCTAAGGTATGGTGGTAATTGTTAAAAGTAATAATTTATTTGCCTATCAGTCTTTTCTACTTAATCCATATTATGTAATTTTTGTTATCTTTTAAATGGATACGTGGTTTTTAATTTTATCTTTCATTAGATATATTACCAACATCATGAATTGGAACAAGGGTGGACCTGGCACTAAGAGAGGCTTTGGTTTTGGTGGCTTTTCAATATCCTCTGGAAAGAAGGAGGAGCCCAAGCTGCCACAACAATCCCATAGTGCTTTTGGAGCCCCTGGTTCTTCTGGGTTTGGGAAGACACCACCACCTCAGCTGCCATCCTTTTACAAGATTGGATCTAAACGAGCAAATTTTGATGAAGAGAATGCGTAAGATCTTATTTTTGCACATATATCTATAGTAGGCATACTTCCCAAAATTTGATGATTGTGTTACCTAACAGTATCTCAAAGAAAGCACCAATGAGGGATGTAGCTTTTTTTATTACAGCCAGTAAAATCAGTATGACATAATTAACTTGTTTTATTTTTATTATTTTTAAGCTGCACTATGGCACATAAGTCTTGAATAGAGCTTGAACTGTACCCAACTCATATAAATAAATAGTTATGATGTAATACTTAACTCATAGTCATATAACTTATTTTAAGATATAGTTTCTGTCTTGTGCTGCTGGCTTTTTGATAACTGGATTCTTTATTACAGAATTCCCTTTTTCTCTTTCTTTAATGATTAGATACTTTGAAGATGAGGAGGAAGATTCCAATAATGTTGACTTGCCATACATTCCTGCTGAAAACTCTCCTACTCGTCAGCAATTCCATTCCAAAGCAACTGATTCAGATAGTGAGGATGACCCATTGGAGGCATTCATGGCTGAAGTGGAAGTAAGTTATTATTTCCTTTAATTTTACAAAGATTGCCTGACATCAAAATTTGCTGTTTAGAAAAGCAACTTATACTTTAAGTCTGATCTTCAAAAGCAAGAAATAAAAATATTATTAATCTTACTCATTTTTAATTTATTCTGAATGTACTTACTTTTCAACAGATTGCCCAGCTGATATTACAGAAATGAAAGAAAAAGCAAATAAGAAAATAAAGGAATTGCTATCTTTTCAGCTATAAAAATATTTTGGGTTGCTATCACAGGAAAGACCATGCTTTCATGAGCTTTTGTTTAAATCTGATGCTTGTTTTTGTCAAGTCTTGTCAGTCTGTCACATCAGATTTGAAAGAAGGCACTGTTCAGTTTTTGTTACCATTGAAATAAGCTTTTCAAGTTCAGTGAAAAAAATCTGTACTTGGTTTATCAAATAATGTACAGGTAGTCCTCTGGTTATGAAGGCAGTTGGAACCGAGATTGCCATTGGTAAGCAGTGCAATCCTTAAGTATGACATCATAAGTTCATGTATTCAGCACCATGGTAAGTTTGAACAGTTGCCAAATGAATTGACTTAAGCTGAGGACTATCTGTATTTACTTGCTTACAGCTCCATGAATTCTAAGTAACAGAAATTTTTATGGGAGTTGATATTAAATATGCTACTTTTTAAAATAATGTTTTGTGATTGATTAGGATCAAGCTGCTAGAGACATGAAAAGATTAGAAGATAAAGATAAGGAAAGAAAGAATTCAAAGTAAGTTTCATATATCATATTCCTATTGAAATCAACAAAAGTTCATCAACAGTGTTTAAGCATGGTATCATTATTTCTAGCTAGATATTTTATTTTCATGCCAAGATAGTTCTCTAGATGCTATGATTTGGATTTTAAGGGTTAAATTTTATGGGGCTAGTGTATGATTAATTCTTACTTATGACAAGCAAAACTTGACTTTTTAGTCCTTTTCAGGTGTAAAATTCTGTGAGCACTTCTCATATTTCATAGATTGGAAATTCTAGTCAACTCATCAGAATTTGGCAAGTTATGGGGGGGTTGGAGTTGTTATAAGAAATGTGTTTTTATTGCAGCTGAATGTATCTATGTTGAGTCATTTTGGCACTCATCAGGCTGAATATATGGAGCTGGGTATGTGGAACATTTGCAGGGAAGTTTTGTTTCTCTGCTTATTTTTCCAGGGGTATACGCGATGATATTGAAGAAGAAGATGATCAAGTGAGTTTTCTACAAAATCTTTTTATCTATGTAAAAATGAAATCGGATCCCTTGAACAAATTAGTGTTAAAATCTGTCTTAGTATAAAAGGATGCTTATGACCATATAAATCCCAGCTGAGAATGTGTAAGTAGAAGCCATTGGAGAGATCATGTAACACAATTTTAATAAAAACTTCTGTGATTGTCTTTTAATTTTCACACTAGAACATCTAATATTTTTAGACTATACTGCAACTTGTTAGTATATTACAGAGGAGCTTCATGTGTGCTGGTAACAAGTTAGTATGTCTTTGATACCCGAAGTATCCACTTTCTACATTTGTACAGTGGTTCCTTTATCTTGTTGCTTCTGTAACGAGTGGACAATCATCACCATATCACAATGGCAAGTAATTATTCATTCCAGTGGAGCCCACTTGTTACCTGTCAGTAGGAGGTATTTTCAGTCAGGAGTATACTCAATTCATTATGGATACTTTAAAAGTAAGTTATGACAGCAAGTCTAAGGCACAGTTTGAGATTAGGAAAAAAAATTGTTTAGCAGAGACCTTTAGAAAACACAATTCTAGGATGTTTGAGTGACAAAGGAAGACTATTCCATTTATAAAGTTACCATTTTTTGTTGTTGGTTGCAAAGTTGTGTCCGACCCATCGCAACCCCATGGACAACATTCCTCTAGGCCTTCCTGTCCTCTACCATCCTTTGGAGTCCATTTAAACTCATGCCTACTGCTTCAGTGACTCCATCCAGCCATCTCGTTCTCTGTTGTCCCGTTCTTTTGCCCTCAATCTTTCCCAGCATTAGGCTCTTCTCCAGTGAGTCTTTCCTTCTCATTAGGTGGCCAAAGTATTTAAGTTTCATCTTCAGGACCTGTCCTTCTAAAGAGCAGTCAGGGTTGATCTCCTCTAGGACTGACTGGTTTGATCGCCTTGCAGTTCAAGGGATTTGCAGGAGTCTTCTACCCATTACCAAAGTGCAAACTCAATCACAAGTCTTTGTGTTTTTTAGTTGAAGCACCACAGGACCGGACTTGCTTTATAGTTGTTTTTACAATGATCGTAAAGCAAGTTACCGTGGTCATTAACCACATAGTTAAGCAAATACAGCATTAAAAATGTTGCAAATTGTGGTCACATAACTGCAGAATGCTGCAATTGTTTGTTGCCAAACTCCCAAAATGCAATATTATAATGGGGGCAGCAGTGGTAACCTTGAGGACAGATCAAAAGTAGCTTTTTGGATATCTGTTGTAACTTTGGTCATTAAACGACTGATTGTAAGTCAAGGATGTGTAATAACTGCCTGTATATCACTGAGTTAATATAGCTTACACATGTTTAGAATGCAGAAATAAATCTTTTGCCAACAAAATTGTAACTTATAAATAGAGATGTGTCATAATGTCCTCCCATCTCTTCTTATTTGGTTCATTTATGACAGTGAATCTGACAAGGTACTTACAATACGCAGAGAATACTTATGTACATCTCTCCCAGTTGTTTAAAGACAGGAAATAACACTGAAGTATTGATGCAATTATAGAAATAGTTAAAGCAGTCAGTTAATAAAATTGGTTAAATGTACATATGAAAAATTTAATTCAGATTTTTTAAGAATATGGATAGGTGGTTCCTCTAAGTGTAATTTAATATTTTCTTTTGAAAGAAGGGAAGATCTTACTTAATTTCTTTTCATTTTATCTTTAAAATTGAAATTATGAATAGATTCTAAAGAAAGTATTTAGGAAATTTATCTTGTCCCATAATGCATGTACTCGTTAACATGGGTCCTCATAATTGTGGCTGGTGTAACATCCCCACAGTCATGCAATTGGGGTGTTTGGCAATCATAAGGTCACATGATCACCATTTGCAACTTTTACTGCCATTTTCTGCCAAGTAAAGTCAGTAGAGAACCCAGCAGGAAGTCACAATTAGTGGTTATGAGACTGCTTCAACTGCACGAGGTTTACGTAGTGACAACAACTAGGACTACCACGATTACCATTGTAATGTTGCACAGCATTACTTAGTTGCCAGCCCAAACTTCCATTGTTAAATGAGGACTACCTATAATCACAGTCAATCCCCTCACATGCATCAGAGATCCAGAAAAGAGTTTGGAATGTGATTAGTATAATGCATAAGTATGTTCCTAAGAAATCACATATTAAAGTCATTTGGAACAATGTCCTTTGTGGTTTTAGCTAATTTTTTGTAGAAATCTACTAGGTTCTTCTGTATTCTGTACATTATAAAAATATTGTTCATATTTGTCAGTCATTGTTGTTTCATTAGATGATTTCTGTGCTGAAAATGCAATTCAAATAGACTCTTACTGCTCTTGCACACATTAAAGTAAGCTATTACCTTAATGTGGTTAGCAGTAAACTGCATTTCTTCCTTCTCATCTGTATGCAGTTACACTTTTCTGTTTTGCTGCAGGAAGCTTATTTCCGTTACATGGCTGAAAACCCCACTGCTGGTGTGGTTCCAGAAGAGGAGGAAGATAACTTGGAGTATGATAGTGATGGCAATCCAATAGCACCATCTAAAAAAATTATTGATCCTCTGCCACCTATTGATCATTCAGAGGTGATGAAATTTATTCTTTTCGTAAAATTGTATCAGTGTTAAGCTAAATTATAAGTCAATAATATTGAAGAAGGCAAACTAGGAAGAAAACACATCCTCTAATGCAGCAGCCCCCAACCTTTTTGGCACCAAGGATCAGTTTCATAGAAGACAATTTTTCTATGGATGCGGGTGGGGTGGGGTATGGTTTCAGTCACTCGCTTGCCTGCCACTTGCCTCCAATTGTGCAGCCTGGTTCTTAACAGGTCACGGACCAGTACTGGTCCATGACCAGGGGATTGGGAACCATTAGTATATGCATTCAATTTCTTTTATATTGTGCCATGATAATTCTGAAATATTAGATATTAATAACTGAAATGGTTAGGTAAAGGATTTTATTTCGACATAAGAGATTTATTGCATTTCTTGTTTTCCTCATCTTGACTGTCAATTTGATGTTCCAATGTTTCAAATGTTCTGCTAGTATTCTCTATATTCATAATATCACAGGAGCTAGCAATAGTTACCTTTTACCTGATCAGGTGGCATTCCTCACTAATAAGGAATAATTGGCTTGCAGATTGAATACCCGCCGTTTGAGAAAAACTTCTATGACGAGCATGAAGAAATCACCAGTCTCACTCCACAACAAGTAGTGGAGTTGCGCCATAAGTTAAATCTCCGGGTAAGATGAAAACAAGAATCCTTGTTTCTGGGCTGTTTTCTTGTTTATACATTTTATTGTGTGCTAAACAGATGCTGGATCTTACAGCAATATTGCAGCAGACTAGAGAATGCTTTCCAAAAGGAAAAGGTTTGGATAAAAAAATATGACATGAAAGGAATGGGAGGTAAAATATTAAAAAAAAGAAAATTTTGGGACTCTGGGGAACTGATAGGTAAATGTTTTGATTCTGACAATTTGTCACCTATTTCCTGTTGAGTACTTTTTAAGCTCATGTAGCTTAATTCTTTGTATTTTAGAGTTGGAAAGAGGCCTCTTTCTAGACTCTGAAATGTTTCCTGGGGTTCTCTGGTCCATAATAGTGATTTTTTTTTAGCTCTTCTAGCTGTTTACTTTTTCTTATGGTGCATCAAGTGAAAGGCATAGGGGTTTGAGGATAACTGATTTCCTTCCTGTATAACATTTTATATATCACATGTCCACAGCATCCCTCCCTCAGTGTCCTGGTGATAGTGCAGTGATGGCTAACCTTTTTGCCATCGCGTGCTGGGGGGGGGTTGGGGAGGTTCGCGCATGTGTGTGCTCACACTCATAATTCTATGTGCCCTGCCCTACGCATGTGCGCACAACCCCCTACCCCCCGCCCCCCCGCTCCTGACACGCAATGGCCTGGTAAGCCCGTTTTTCTTTCTTACCTGGCTCCAGATCCTCTCTATGCATCTGGGAAGGGCAAAAACAGCCTTTCCCACTCCCTCGGAGGCCTGAAAGGGCCCATTTCTCAACTCCCAGGGGACAGGAAGTGACATTTTTTGCTGTCCCCAGCCTCCAGAGCCTCTCTAGGAGAAAAATGCCCCCCCCCCCCCGGCCCTCTGGAGGACGGGAAACAGCCTCTTTCCCTACTTCTGGTGGGCCCAGAAGGTCCGAAAATCAGCTGGTCGGCACACACATGCGTGCCAGAGCTGAGCTGGCGTGCCACTGATACGGCTACACATGCCACCTGTGGCACGCATGCCATAGGTTCGTCACGGTGATAGTGTCAATATTTGGAAACGATGTCAGTGATACAATATTGATCCTCTTTTTTCTCCAAGACCAAGAATCATATGGGAGCAGGAAACCTCTGAAACAAGCCACTCTCATACATATTGTTAAAGCACCCCCAAATGATTCTCCTGAAATTCAGAAACAAAATGGATGAAATTAATAATGCAATTTTTAGCTCATTTGAGATGTAATTAGGAAATTTAAGATGGGAAAGAGAACGCTTTTTCTCTCAGAGTCCCAGGGGGGAAAAATGTAAAAAATTTAATCTTGCCCCTTCTAATAACATCAGCAAATACTGGAAACCCGCTTCCGAATTATTTGTTGAGGAACAAGTTGTTCAAATTGTTTCACCCTATCATTTCCAATAACCCCCACCGGGGGTAAGTAAGTAGCCCATTTCTGCTCTACACCAACAAGCATTTTAAACAATTTTCTTAAATGGATAATATAAGCATTTAAACTTTGGCATGTCTAATTAACTTTTCTTTTTCCTAGGTTTCTGGTGCTGCTCCTCCAAGGCCAGGAAGTAGTTTTGCTCATTTTGGTTTTGATGAGCAACTTATGCACCAAATCAGAAAATCAGAATACACGCAACCCACTCCTATCCAGTGTCAAGTAAGTATCATTTTTTCATAGTTTTTGAGAGAGTAGGGAGAGACTATCAGTTCTAACTTGGTTACCAAATGTAATGGATTTGGAGATATAAAGCCTGAAAACCAATCTGCCTCTTTAAAATAAAAAATAATGGTTTCTATATGTAACCATTCCTACAAAATTAGAAATTATTTAGAACAGCGGTCCCAACCCTTCCGACTCTGGGGTCCGGCAGGGGGCAGCAGCAGGAAGGTTTGCATATGCAACCAAATCTTGTGCAAATGGAGCTTCACACACTCGCCCACCTCTTGCACGGCCCCATTCCCAACAGGCTGCAGACTAGTATCAGTTCACGGATTGGGGGTGGGGGCCCCTGATTTAGAACAGTTTAAAAAGTTAGCTATTCTGCCTGATATCTCTAGAGCTCAGAATCTGCAGAACGTAATCAGAAGATAATTTATTTTGTTAAATACATGGTACAACTTAGAATTTGATACAAGACTATAATTTCCTGTACAATCAAATTTCTTTTGATTGATTGATTAGACTTTTATCCCCCTTTATTTTTATAAGGTGGCAAACATATATTCTTTCCTTCTCCTGTTCTCCTCACAATAGCCTCGTGAGGCGGCGTAGCACTGAAATGAGTGACTGGCCCAAAGTCATCCATCTGGCTTTCTAGACCAGCCTTGAGTATCAGAAACATCTCAGGCAGTGTACAGTGTGATTGGATATATTATGTTTAAATATGGTTTTCCCTGATAAAAAAATAAGGAACCTGTAATCATCCATTTATTGCTGAAATGTGGTTTTCCCTATCCCTTATTGACTCTACAGCCTGCAGTTCAAGTTATAGTTCAGCAAAATCTGAAGGCATGAAATTCCCTCCTCCTTGTTTCAGTAGACATCTTTTCGAACTAATTTATTAAGTTCTGAAGCGCCTGCTGTATTTTGAAGTATTGTTCAGTTTTAAACAAAAATGTTGTTCCTCTTTCTCTGTAGGGTATTCCAGTGGCACTCAGTGGTAGAGACATGATTGGCATTGCAAAAACTGGCAGTGGAAAAACTGCAGCGTTCATTTGGCCCATGTTAATCCACATTATGGATCAGAAAGAGCTGGAGCCAGGTGATGGTCCCATTGCAGTAATTGTATGTCCCACTAGAGAATTGTGCCAACAGGTAAGTAAATTTGAATCTTTATGGGGGGGGAAATGTGGGAAAACAAATATTTATGGAAGGGGGAATAATATATTATAAATTTCTAAAATTACAATATATAGTATTCATTGTATCTTTTGAAGGTTACGCTGAAGGGGGTTATAATCAGATATCTATTGCTACCTCTAGCAACAATCCTGTCTTAATTATTCATTTTGATCAAAACTACCAACTCAGAAAAATCATTTAGTGATTTTAATATTATGTTAGTTTACTATTCATTAGTAAAGCTCAATTTATTATTGCAAAGCCCTGGAAAAACTGAATTACATCTTTATTTTGATCATTGGTATTTAGAAATATAGGAAGTTGCATTGTCTGAAAAATTAATACAACAAAAATAATTTTGAAGACTCTTAAGATTATAGTTTGTAGCCTCCACTTCTTAGCTTTTCCTACAAGTTTATTCATTTAAAAATCCTATTCAGTTTGTGATTGTGGTAATTAAGCAGAGAAAAATTACTTTTATGAAAAAGCCAGCTGATTTATTAATAGGACTAGCTTCTTCTGAAAATTACAAAATCTCTAGAGAAAGGAATTTGTACTGCAAATGCAAAGAGCTTTTCTGAGTGTGGTTTTCTAGCATATTGTGCTGGTGTGATTGATAAAGATTGATAAAAAATTGATAAGATATAGCTGTGCATATAATTCTTCATGTATGAACATCACAATACTACCTGCTTTTTCTATTACGTTTGAAAGAATAATTACAAAAATGATGTGCACATCTGTGAAGATGTGTTCCTAAATTCATTTTACAATACTGTTCCAATTGGATGCTGTGGCATAATCATGGAGGTTATAGAGTTTTGTCCTGAATATTTAAACAAAAAACTGAAATTCTGCCTTCTGTGCAATGGGAAAAATGAATAGAGGAAACAGAACAAGAGACTATAGAAGCAGCCTGTATAATTCAGGTATGAACGGTTGGTGCTAGATGGATGGGAATAGAAACACCAGTGAAGAATTAAGTTACTGAAGAAAAATGTTTATCCACTCTGTATAGATGCTTCCCCAATGCCTACAGGCTGTGAGAGTAACTGGAGATGAGCAGCTGGCAAATCAGTGCTTTATAAAATTGAGATCTCTAGGATTTTGCCTTCCTTCCCCCCAAGTGATTCTGGAATTGTTCCACCTATAATTTTGGTTTTTTTTATAAAAGTTTTTTATTTTTATTTTTTATCAACATAATCAAATGTACAGTCTTTTGTCCATCATTAATCATTATTCATTCATCTTATTCTTTAACTTCCATTTGCTAATTAGTTGTTCGAGTCTGCTCTTCTACCATCTCCTTCCTTTATTTTAATACAACCTTTCCTTTTCTTCTTCCCTTCTCTCTCCTCTTCTCTTTCTACTTTCCTCATTCCTCCCCTCCTTCCCTTTTCTACTTCCTCTTCTCTTCCCCTCTCCTCTCTTCTTCCTCCCTTTCTTACCCTCTCTCCTCCTCTTTCCCCCTTCTTTCTTCCCTCCTTTTCCCGTTCTTTTCTTCTCACCTCTCAACTCTCCTTCTTCCCCTTCTCTACTCATCTCCCCTTTTCCACTCCCTTGTGGAACTCTCCTTTTTCAATTCAATTGAAAAACTCTTCTTTTTCAATTCAATCTGAGATGGTATTCGAGCAGCCCCGATTTCTATTCACATACATCTTCATTTCATATTTCTTTTTTACTTTATACTTATATCTCTTTTTACATTCCTGTACATTATTAATCAAGCCATGTGTCATCTGGGTATAACATTTTTGTGTCCTCATCTTCATAATTTGGAGGGTAGAGCCGAGGATTTTGTTCAGTATCTGTATGACAAAATCACTCAGATTCGGGAAGATCTGGACTCCGACTGGGTAGTCTCAGGGGGAGGGACGGGGGCAGGTCTTGAGAATGTTATCTGGGATGAGTTTGATCCTGTGACCCCTGAGGACGTGGACAGGATTCTGGGTAGACTGAACGCGACCACTTGTTTATTGGACCCGTGTCCCTCCTGGTTAGTGCTGGCTTCTCGGGAGGTGACACGAGGCTGGTTCCAGGGGATTATAAATGCTTCGTTGGGTGAGGGTGTCTTTCCTGCCGCCTTGAAAGAGGCGGTGGTGAGGCCTCTCCTCAAGAAGCCTTCCCTGGACCCAGCAATGTTGGTAAATTATCGTCCGGTCTCCAACCTTCGTTTTGTGGCAAAGGTTGTTGAGAGTGTGGTTGCGCAACAGCTCCCCTAGCATCTGGATGAAACGACGTATCTGGATCCGTTCCAGTCGGGCTTCAGGCCCGGGTACAGCACGGAAACGGCATTGGTCGCGTTGGTTGATGATCTCTGGAGGGCTCGGGACAGGTGGTGCTCCTCTGTCCTGGTCCTGTTAGATCTCTCAGCGGCTTTTGATACCATCGACCATGGTATCATGCTGCACGGGTTGGAAGAGTTAGGGGTGGGAGGCACTGTGTTGCGGTGGTTCTCCTCCTTTCTCTCTGACCGGTCGCAGTCTGTGTTGACAGGGGGACAGAGGTCAACCCCGAGGCCCCTCATATGTGGGGTGCCGCAAGGGTCGGTCCTCTCGCCTCTCCTGTTCAACATTTATGTGAAGCCGCTGGGCGAGATCATCCGTGGTTTTGGGGTGGAGTACCATCAGTACGCTGACGACACCCAGCTGTACATCTCCACCCCGGATCACCCCAACGATGCCCTTGAAGTAATGTCCCGGTGCCTGGAGGCCGTACGGATCTGGATGGGGAGGAACAGGCTCAGGCTCAACCCATCCAAGACCGAGTGGCTGTGGTTTCCGACGTCCCGATATAGTCAGTTGATGCCATCACTGACTATTGGGGGCGAATCATTGGCCCCCACGGAGAGGGCTCGCAACTTGGGCGTCCTCCTGGATTCACGGCTGTCTTTAGAAGAGCACTTGACGGCCGTGACCGGGAGGATTTTTCATCAGGTTCGCCTGATTCCCTTTCTGGATCGGGACTCGTTACACACGGTCACTCATGCCCTCGTCACCTCCCGCCTGGACTATTGTAATGCTCTCTACATGGGGCTCCCCTTGAGGAGCACCCGGAGGCTCCAACTGGCGCAGAGTGCGGCCGCGCGGGTGGTAATGGGAGCGACATGGCGCTCCCATGTGACACCTCTCCTGCGCGAGCTGCACTGGCTCCCGGTGGTCTTCCGGGTGCGCTTCAAGGTTTTGGTTACCACCTTTAAAGCGCTCCATGGCTTAGGACCTGGTTATCTACGGGACCGCCTACTACCACCAATAGCCTCCCACCGGCCAGTATGCTCTCATAGAGAGGGACTCCTCCGGGTGCCGTCAGCCAAACAATGTCGGCTGGCGACCCCTAGGGGGAGAGCCTTCTCTGTGGGGGCACCTACCATCTGGAATGAGCTCCCCCCAGAGATACGGAGGATCCCGGATCTGCGCACCTTCCGCCGCGCTGTGAAGACCTTTTTATTCCATCAGGCGGGCTTGGCCTAATCTCTTCCCTTTTTAAACATGTAAATTTTAATCTGTTTTTAAATTATTGGGGTGTTTTAATTTGTCTGGGCCAAAATGATTTAATTTGATTTTATCTGGTTTTTTAAATTTTTTGTATCTATGTTATTTTATTGTTTGGCTGTTCACCGCCCTGAGTCCTTCGGGAGTAGGGCGGTATACAAATCAAATAAAACATAAAAACATAAAACATAAACATAATTTATCATCATTTCTTAATACATACATTTGTCTTTCCTTTTTCATTTACTTTTAATATACTACAACTTAACCATCCCAAAGTTCTTATCTTTACCATGTTTATTGTCTATACTCATTTTCTATCCATTGATAAAAATTTTCCCCATATGTTATAATACTCGAACTCTTCTTTCCCTTTAATTGCCAATGTCAACCTATTCATTTCTGCACATTCCAATATTTTTTTAATTACCTCTCCCTTTGTAGGAATTTTCTCTGCTTTCCAATTTTGTGCAAATACAATTCTCGCTGCTGTTATTACATTTATTATCAAGTATGTGTGTTCTTTACCCTACTTCTCTGAAAGAATACCCAACAGGAACAATTCTGGTTTTAAGTCAATATGTTGCTGTATCATTTTTTCTAGCCATAGTCTAATCTTTGCCCAATAGTTTCTCGCTTCTGGACATGTCCACCACATATGATAATATCCCAGCAACTGATGACATTTCCAACATTTAGCTGATTTATCTTTAAACATTTTTGCCAATCTTTCTGGTGGCATGTGCCATCTATAAAACATTTTATATAGGTTCTCTTTATATGCTGTGGCCATTGTTAATTTATAATTTCTTTCCCATAATTGCTGCCATTTATCTAACTTAATTGTATATCCCAAAATTTTTGCCCATGCTATCATTGTTTCTTTGACTTGTTCTTCTAACTTCACTTCAAGTAAATAACTGTACAATTTCCTAATCATTTTTTCCTCAGTTCCTGTGAGTATCTCATCCAATGCTGTCATTTCCAAGTAAAAACCATATAGCTTTGCATCTTTTTCATATCTCGATTGTATTTGCAGCTGAGTATACCACTCCATTTCAATCCCTTGTTCATCTAATTCTTGTTTTGTTTTCAATTCCCCTGTTGCTGATAACATGTCTTTATATCTTATAGTATTTCTCATATTAATAAGATTTGGATGTACAGATGCTTCCATTGTTGAAAGCCATGTTGGTATTTTCAAATAATGTTTCTCTCTAATTTTTCCCATACTAGTAATAATGCATTTCTCACAGTGTCTTTGAAAATAGCTATGCATCTTGTTCTTCCCATACCATAAAAAAGTGTGCCAACCCAGTTGTAGGTCATGCCCCTCTAAAGTTAATAGTCTTGTATTTCTCAACATAATCCATTCTTTTATCCAAGATAATGCTGCTGCTTGATAATATGGTTCCCAGTTTGGTAATCCAAATCCTCCTCTTAGCCACCTATAACTTTGTATGGGATAGCATTCTCAAAGAGTGAATTGGTACACAATCGGGGTGGGGGGGTATCTTCATAAATTCACAGCTCCTGCTCAAGGGCCTTTGCATAATTCATCTTGTGAGCCAGTTGCATCACCTGGCCGGCATTCCTCATGGTCACTTACTCCTTAGTCACTTCCAGCTTGGAATACTGCAACATGCTCAAAATGGGCCATCCTTAAAGAGCATTAAAAAAGTTCTGGTTGTCATTTTTACAGCCTGTGTCTTTATTTATTAAGAAAATATATATGGTCTCCCAACTCATTCTTAGTGATTTTATGCAGCTTACAAAAATAAAATCCCATTATAAAAACCAATACAGGTAGTCCTCAACTTAACATTACTTCATTTAATGACACAATATCACTGAAAAAAGTGACATGACTGTTTTTCACACTTTTGACATTAAAGTGAATTCTCATGGTCATAGGATCAAAATTCAGATACTTGGCAATTAACTCATATTTATGATGGTTGGAGTATCCAGGAGTCATGTTATCACAATTTGATATCTTTTGACAAGCAAAGTCAATGGGGAAATCAGTTTCACTTAACAATTGTGTTACTAATTTATCAACTGGAGTGATTCACTTAAGAACTGTGGTAAGAAAAGTTGTAAAATGGGGCAAAAATGTTTCATTTAACAACAGAAATTTTGTGCTCAGTTGTGGTCGTAAATTGAGGATAACCTGTAAACACCACCGCCACCCCTGACAACAACAATCAGACTAGCCACTTGAAAGGCTTCATATCACTCTGAGGGTCCTAGACCCGTTGACAAAACCATGTCTCCAGGGCCTTGAAAAAGAATGTCAAAATGGGGGCATTTTTATCTCTTCAGGGATGAGGTTCCACAGAATAGAGTCTGGGGTGTCTATCACACCACAAGATCTGACTGGCTAGGCATGTTTTCAGTCATCTCAGTAAAATTAGAATCTTGGAATGTGCTTTGTCTGTTGCAATAGTCTTCCCATATGACATCTATGATCCAGATGTAAAACTGTACAGTCTGTACTATGGAACAGTCTCCTCCTATGATCCAGATGGCATCAAATCTGTTGGCCCTTCAGAAAAATCTGTCTTTTCTTTCAGGTGTTAGGGAAAGTTATAATGATGCTACATGCCCACTTGGGGTTATGAATATTTTTTGAGATGCCTTGGCTCTTGTATTTGTTGTGTTTGCTTTTCATTGTATTTTCCATTTTGTTATATATTAATTTTGTTTAGCTGCCCAGAGTTGTTTACTTAATGTGCAGACATGCACATTTTCTAAATAATTAACTCTCATGTGGAGAGTATATAGATCTAATGCAGCATGTAATTTAACTGTCCTTGAAATAGTCTGTGCTGAAAATTGGATGCAAATTTTTGCATCATTTTAAGTGTGAACCAAATGAAAGCTTTATTCATAAAATAGATAATAATTAAATAAGGAAGTGCCAAAGCTACATTTCATTTCTATAGCTCCATGTACTTTGAGGCCACCAAAATGTTAAAAAGAGCCCTTTCTACCAAACAAATGCCTACCAGTGTGCAAACAAATAGGAAGACTTTTTAAAGTCAATTTTAAAAATTAATTAGAACTTTTTTCTCAGTTTTTCATTACTTCATTCTTAACATGATGTGAACCTATATGGTTTTAGATCCATGCTGAATGCAAGCGTTTTGGAAAAGCCTACAATCTGCGATCTGTAGCTGTATATGGTGGAGGAAGCATGTGGGAACAGGCCAAGGCACTTCAGGAAGGGGCAGAAATTGTTGTCTGTACTCCGGTGAGTATTTCACTAGTATGGTTGTGTTGCAGTAAAGAACAAAGTATTCTTACTTTTTCTTCCTTTGAACAAAATAATTTTCTGAAATAGTTTGATTTCTGATTTGCTTAATCTCAACTCACTAGCAGGATTCAGAAAAATTCCAAATGATAAGGGACAGGACTACAGAAACTTGGAGACTTCCAAATGATAAGGGATAGGGAGACTTGGAACAGTGATGCCCATTTCGAATATTTCCCGTAGTTTGAATCCCATTGGTATTTATTTTGCTTTCAGGCTTAAGGTATATGTTAAATGTTTCCGCACAGGGCCGTTTGATTGATCATGTGAAGAAGAAAGCCACAAATCTTCAGAGAGTCACTTACCTTGTGTTTGATGAGGCTGACAGGATGTTTGATATGGGTTTTGGTACGTAATCAGTAATAGTGCTTATAAGCATAGTTAATAAATAGTGCCCTTGTTGCTGTTATCGATTGTCCTCTAAAAGTGTTTGATAACCACTTGCAAAATTATTGTAAAGACCAATGCTTTGTTTAATTATTTCCCTAGTAGGCTACCTAACCAGTTTCAGTTTTACAAAAAATAAATAAATAAATATTTATGTAATAGCTGAAATAATTGGTGCAAAATGAAGGGATTTTTTTGCATGTGGGAATGCAGTAAGCATGGAAAAAACAAGTAGTTTTGCCTAATGAAGAATACCAAAAATATGAGAAATAAAGAACAAAACATACATCTTATGAATGTGAATACTAATATTAATCTATGTTATATGTTCTGTCATAATCTCTATGGTTAGTTGAGAATATTTCTTAGTAGTGTCCTTGCATGGCAGAGGACGTTATAAAAGTATATTCATGAAGATAGATTTTAGTGATCTCTATCAGGCATGGAAGCTCTCCTCCTTTAGAAATCTATGGAAGCTTCCGACAGAAATTTAAAAATTCCTTTCTATTAAGTTAAGAATGTTATAATCACTAGAAAAAAAGAGACATTTTTTGTCTTCCATTCTTTTCTTGATGGCAGTAACTTTGAAGGTGGCATGGAACCGCTGGCTCTGTAGCCATGTTTTCATGCAGGTAGGAAGCATGCAGAAGTATGATAGGAAACTAGGTCTCTTTTGGAGAAGTTGTCCTCATCATTATTTGTCTGTATTGAGACCAGGCAAAGACTATAACAGCCTGTATATACTATAAGTAGACAAAAGGGTTATGTGCGAGCTAAAATGGACCGATTTTTTTTTACTAAATTAATAACTGTTATCAATAATTTATTTAAATATTAATTTTATTTCCAAATCCTCAATAAAGGATCTTCCAAAACCTTTATGTGACTTTGAGGGAAAAACAATTTCCATTTTTCTTTTTCACAGAATTTTTAAAAATCTTGCATGTAAATATCAAGATTGCGTCAAAATGAGCATATCAGTCATGCTTGTATGTACAGTATGATGAAGCCATGATTTTAGCACTACATGCATTAGCAGAAGTGATCCTGGGTATTCCCTTTCTCTCTTTTGTGTTCAGAAAAAGAAATAAAATAGCATATAATTTTAAGACCAAACTAGGCACTGTCAATTAAATAAACAAGCTAATTAAACAATATATCAATATTTGCTATTAGTTCAATTGAAAGGAACTGCAATGCAGTTATAGTTTATATTGAATTATTTTAAGTTTCACTGGATTTAGTATATGGGGGGCTTAGACTGGTGTGTATGTCAACTCATACATGGTCAGCTATGGATTTCGGGTTTTATTTTCTTTATGCTACAATTTTTCTATTTTATTTTTGTAGACTTCCTGTTAAAGATGGCAGTGTCAGAAGTTGAGCCTTGCTCAGAGAAAACTTTACCTTTGTGATTTAAAAATTAAGACAGATAAAGGCTCAGAAATTAATTAACACTAGTTAATTGGCATTAAAATGTCCGTAGTTTATTTACTCAAATATATCAGCATCCGTTCAAGACAGAGCTGTTTTATGTTTTAAAACAGAAAAATTAACAGAATTCTGAGATCCAAATCATTTCATTCAGGCCTTGTGTAATACTTTTATTCATTCAGCTGGATGTTTAGCAGTCATAATGACATTGCTTTTCATTCTTTGCAAAGGTTCTTTGGTCTGGAGGTTTACTCTGGATTACTCTTGCTTAACAAATGGTTGCTTAACGACCATTTGAAGTTATGAGGAAGCCCCGTCCCCTGAAAAACTACTTATGACTCAATTCCAGAATTCTAACAACTGCACACATACCCCAGGGTCACATGACTTCATTTTTGGCACTTGGCAATCAACTCACTTTTATGGCTGGTCATAGCATTCTGCAGTTTCTGTTTGTTTAATGACCAGGGAATTCACTTAATGATCATTGCAAAAAAATCATAAAATTAGATTTCACCACGTAAATACCTTAACCTATGACCATCGTGACTTAATGATGGAAATTCCAGGCTCCGATACAGTCATAAGTCAAGAATTGCATGAATATAGATAGTCCTCGACTTATGACCACAATTGAGCCAAAAATTTCTGTTGCTTAGCAAAACATTTGTTAAATGAATTTTGTTCCATTTTATAACCTTTCTTCCCACAGTTGTTAAATGAATCACTGCAGTTGTTAAGTTAGTAACACCGTTGTTAGTGAATCTGGCTTCCCCATTGACTTTGCTCGTGAGAAGGTTGCAAAAGTTGATTGCATGACACTGGGACACTGCAACCGTCATAAATGAGAGTCACTTGCCAAGCACCCAAATTTTGATCATATGACTGGGATGCTGAAATGGTCGTAAGGCAAAATAGTCATGTCACTTTTTTCAGTGCTGTTGTAACTTTAAATGGTCACTAAATGAACTGTTGTAAATCGAGGACTACCTGTCTGTGTGTATCCTCTCCAACACACTTTATTTTACAGGCTTACCAAAATTAGTTTTCTCTTATGATATCCTAAGACTTCAATAAAAGTATAAAGAAGTTTTCTGGAATTTTGCACATTCTGTCTATATCTATATATATGTATGTATGTATGTATGTATGTATATTAATTTATTGAGACTATGTTGGGTATGGTTCAGAGAGTGATGCTTTTCACTGGACTTTATTCTTTTTTCTTCAGAGTATCAAGTCCGATCAATTGCCAGTCATGTCCGCCCTGAAAGACAAAGTGAGTATGGGCTTTCTTAATGCAAGATTTCTGAAAAAATAATTCAAGGGAATTAGATTTCTCTGTTAATATTAATTCAAGTCATCAAACTATACTTAGATTTACAAATAGAATAGGATAGGATAGATATCAAATGCATTACACACAACTTTTAAGCAAGAGAAAACACTCCCCCCCCCCTTATTTTCTTATATATGATTTCCCCATCTTTCTCTGATTTCATTTTTCCCCCTATTGTCTAAAGTTTTGTCTGAATGGGCTTCAGACAAGGAAATCTATTTCTCCCTCTTCACGTATATATGAGTGAGGAAAGTAGGCAACTAGCAACCATCTTGAACAGCAAAGATTAGGAATTGTTCTAGGTAAAATAGATCATAAATAGGTTTCTCAGTTTCAAAGTTTTACAGCCAGAACAGCAAACTCTTGGTGGTCTTGGGCCGCTGTGTTCAATGTTTTGGGGAAGAGGTGAAGGCAGCAACACGTAGTATAATGATACACAATATATAAAGCCATTCCACAGAAGTCAGCGCGGTTGTAGTTTTCATTGTCCCTTTGTCTTTTAGGGAAGTTCTTTTTTTTTTTTTTTTTGAAGCTACATTAAGATTGTTACCTAATATGCATTTCTGTGTTTCCTGCATCAGAATATAGAAAACTGCTACTGATTCTAGGAGAAGAAACTTTTAAATATCACAAACTGTCTATTCTTGTGTTTCAGACTAAATTCTACTTAATATCTTAATTTGGTTACTCATTTAATTCAGTAAGAAACCATCAGCATTGAATGAGGACTTACTGGTAAACAGTGCTGTAGTGTTTCAGAAGTTAGTGTATTATATGTGATAAAGTTTGTTACGATGTGAGAGAAGAATGTTGTTTATATTTCTGAATATGTATAGAATTACCTGCATCATTGTGTGGGCATTGGTTCACACATTGTACTACACAATGTGATTGATTTGGGCTTTGTTTAGAAACTAGTTAAACTTGCTGTTTGATTTGTAAACCACAATTCCTATAACACACTGTATTCTTGATGTAGCCTGTAAATCCAGCCATTGTGTCTATATTCCAAGGGACTTGCTTTAGTGGAGAGCTTGTGTTCTGGTATCTCTTTGGGTATGTGATATAATCAGAATTACATTTCTGACTTAACAGCTCTTCTGTTCAGTGCAACTTTTCGGAAGAAGATTGAGAAACTGGCCAGGGATATTCTGATTGATCCAATTCGAGTGGTGCAGGGAGATATTGGAGAGGTAAATTCCCCTTCTAAAATAATTCTTTGTATGAAACCATTAATAAAAAGGTAAGTCTTAAGGTTGCATATTCCCCTGCTTGGTCTTGCTTGCAAATATTTGCTTTATATTCTAATGTTCTCTGTTCACCTTGCTCCCCCAAACAGGCAAATGAAGATATCACTCAAATTGTGGAGATCCTCAGCTCTGGTCCAAATAAATGGAACTGGCTGACTGGTCGTCTAGTGGAATTCACTTCTTCAGGGAGTGTCCTCCTTTTTGTCACCAAGAAGGCAAATGCAGAAGAATTGGCCAACAACCTTAAACAGGAGGGGCACAGTCTAGGGCTCCTGCATGGTGATATGGACCAGAGTGAAAGGAACAAAGTCATCTCAGATTTCAAGAAAGGGACCTTTCCAGTTCTGGTTGCTACAGATGTGGCTGGTAAAATTGCAAGCCGGATTTAAAAGATATAGAAATTGTTTCTTAAAGCATCCTTTTATCCCTCTCCACAATCAATATGGTTTCTTTATATGTAATTTATACGTATATGTATTTGTAAAGGCATTAGAAAATGTATTTCTGTGAAAGAGATTGAAAGGGGGCACTCTTTAAATACATTGTTTGAAATTAACATATTCGTAAGTGTTTATTCCAAGCTTAGTAAAAATAACTCTTTAGATCTGTAATTAGAGATGTGAAAGTCTGAAAAAAAGAGTAAGACATATTTAAAAAGAGGGATATTAAAAATAGATACATTCTCCTTTTTTCTCTTAAGTATTACTTTAACATTAAAGCATATATCAATAGGTGACTTGCATAGAAAAGCATAGCTGAGAATCATTTCTAAAATTGAAAGTGGTGAAATGAAACAGGTTTTTTTTAAAGACAAGCGTTTGAGAATTGCATTCTTGACTTCCAACCTTATAACTGAAGTGTTTTTATCTAGCTCGTGGTCTGGATATTCCTTCCATTAAGACTGTGATCAATTATGACGTGGCTCGCGATATTGATACTCATACTCATCGAATTGGTCGTACTGGTAGAGCAGGGGAAAAGGGTGTGGCCTACACCTTGTTAACTCAGAAAGATAGCAACTTTGCTGGAGATCTTGTTCGGAATTTGGAAGGAGCCAATCAGAACGTTTCCAAAGAACTTTTGGATTTAGCTATGCAGGTAAAATCTTGTGCTTTCTTTTTCTTTTTTGAAGCACATAGTTGTGAATACAGTAACTATAAGAAGTGTAGATTGTAAATTTAAAGTAAGATGGAGTAAAATATACTTTTACTATATATTTTGTCTGTGCCAGACAAAACTTAGGGAAAAGGTTAAAATAGCAGTCCTCAACTTTCCCGGTTCTGTGGACCAGCAGTGATGGGGGAGGGGATGATTTTGCATGCATACCTGCCCTTTGCACAAATGGAGCTTCAACGCAGTCACCCACCATTTGCATGGCCCATCCCCAATGGTCCATGGACTGGGGGTTGGGGACCCCTGAGTTAGAACATTGATCAGCATTAACTGTATTATTAACTGATGGAAGCTATTCTAAAGCAAGGTCCTAAGAATAGAGCTATGGAAGTGTGTGACGAAAATATTAGATGTGTTCTATTGAATGTTTATATAAAACTGGGTTTATAGAAGTCGGAACTTACAGAATGCAAAGAGCGTCTGTAGTTTTGCTTTCACTTTCTTACTTGTCAGAGTAACCGGAATATATAAAACAATAATGTGCTGACATTTTGGAAACCCAACATTTTTTATTGTCATAATTTTCTCTCCCAGAATGCTTGGTTCCGGAAATCGCGTTTCAAGGGAGGGAAGGGCAAGAAGCTAAATATTGGTGGTGGTGGCCTGGGATACCGTGAGCGGCCTGGCTTAGGATCAGAGAATGTGGTAAGCATTGATGCCTAGATAACAAATATATTTATTGCTACTAAGCATGCCCAAGACTTCTGCCTCAATTCAACAATGCAACTTTGTGTCATAGGATCGGGGAAACAACAGTGTAATGGTCAACTATGAAGCATATAAACCATCCTCAGGAGCAATGGGGGACAGGTTATCTGCAATGAAAGCAGCGTTTCAGGTTAGTATGAAAGGGACCACATATTAAGATCTCATTGCCCTCATTCTAGTGCTGCTGCCATCAGGATTTTCATTCCAAGGTGGCCTTTAGTCTTTGAAACCCAGTGCCTCCTATTTGTACCAGATTATCTGTGAAGAAGGAAATCCTGCTAATTCAAATTATTGCATGAATACTTGAGGGCTGCAAGGGGACTAAGGGCCACCTAACAATTCCCCACCCCACCCCTCAAATCAAAACAGGTTCCTTGGTCAACACTCCAGAAGATAGGCTTAAGGTACAGAAGGATCTTGACAGATTTGAACATAGTGTGTTATCTAACAAAAGAAAACAAAATCTGCAGGTATAGTATAGTTTGCACCTGGCTCAATAGTAGTAACTGTAAGAAGGATCTTAGAGTCCTAATGGACAATCACTTAAATATGAGTCAGCGCTGTGCTGCAGTTGCCAAAAAAAGCCAATTAACGGGTTGAATCAAGATCACATGAAGTGTTAATACTACTTTATAATGCCTTGGAATACTGCATCCAGTTTTGGTTGCTACAATGAAAAAAAGATGTTGAGACTCTAGAAAGAGTGCAGAGCAGAGCAACGAAGATGATTAGGGGACTGGAGACTAAAACATATAAAGAACGGTTACTGGAATTGGGTATGTCTAGTTTAATGAAAAGAAGGGCTGGGGTGACATTATAGCAGTGTTCCAATATCTCAGGGGTTGCCACAAAGGAGAGAGTCAAGCTATTCTTCAAAGCACCTAATGGTGGGACAAGAAGCAATAGATGAAAAATAATCAAGGAGAGAAATTTCCTGACAGTTAGAACAATTAATCAGTGGAACAGCTTGCCTCCAGAAGTTGTGAATGCTCCAACACTGGAAGTTGTTAAGAAGAGATTGGACAACCATGTGCTAGTCAACGATTTCTGACTACTAAGCAGAAGCTCATCCTATTCAGCTCCCAGTCTCCAGTTTTAATTAGTGTTTAAAGAAGAGTCCCATGTTACTTTGAGAAATTTTATGAATACTATTATATTTACTATAAATGTTCTTTTCTCTTGTAGTCCCAGTATAAGAGCCATTTTGTTGCTGCCAGCTTTAGCAACCAGAAGACGGGAAGTTCTTCAGCAGGTGCCAGTGGTTGGACCAGTGCAGGCAGTTTAAACTCTGTGCCAACAAATTCAGCCCAGCAGAACTCAGCTAAACCTGACAGTCCCATAGCAGTATCAGGTTTAGCAAAAGGTATCCCAGGTTTCACAAGTTCTGGAAACTTAAACAGCATCTCTAGCTTTCCAAGTGCAGGCATTCAGGGTTACAATAGTGCAAATGCCATCAACAACAACAGAGAAGGCAACAGTGGAGGCAGGGAAAGATACAATGACAATCGGGGTAGCAGTCGTCATAGTGACAGCCAGCGCCATGGAGATAGCAGTCGCCATAGTGATGGCCAGCGCCATGGGGAAGGCTATCGCCATGGAGAAAACCGCCATGGGGATAGCCATAGACACAGTGAAGGCCGACACTCTGGAGGTGGGAGCAGCAGCAATAGTCGCCATGGAGACCCCAGAAATAATGGAGACAGCCGGAACAACAATGACCGGAACAACAATGAAAACAGAAATATTGAAAATAGGAATAATGAGAGCAAGAAAGAAAGCAGCAACCGAGACAACAGCAAGACAGATGGTTTTGCAGTTCCTGAACCCCCCAAGCGCAAGAAAAGTCGGTGGGATAGTTAAGCATCTGTGCTTCCCCTCAAATGGCAAGGTGTTTCTCTGAAAGGTCTCAGTACCAGAAGTGGCTATTTGGAAGGATAAGAATGGACAATAGCATTTCCCAAGGAAGCCTGACTCAGTACATCCAATATTAACCACCTTTCCTTAACGCCACATCGATTTTATGCTTTGGTCAAAAGAAATTTTCCTTTTAAATGTAATTTCTTCATGCTCTGCCTTTGAAAAATCCGTCCATCCTGAGTGGTTTTACAACACTGATTATCCTTTGGAAGAATTTGTGATTTTTAAAAAAACTAAATATTTCTAAACATAGGAATAAATGGGATAGGGTATATTTTAATTCCCTCATCATAGACTTGACAGAAAGTGACTTGTTTAGGTGATGTACCTACTCATCCACCCTTTTAATTTGTACAATAAGAATGCTTTACACATTTTTGTTCTGGCTATAGTGGCTGTCTGTGCCCAGGCATGGATCCTTAGTTCCGTTTTTGTTAATTTCACGCATAGGCACAGTTCACGGACTGTTTGAGAGTAAATCAAACTGATAAACCAGCAGATATTGTAAAGGTATGATGATCCTTTTGGCAGAAATCGAGGATGGAAGAGAATGGAATTAGCTCTTTTACACCAACATCTTGGATCATGCATGGAAAGCCTGCTGCTTCATTATGGCTTGTATCAGTCTTTCAGCTGCTCTCTCTACTTTTAATCTGATGAAATAGCACTGATTAATTTAAATCCCTTTCATTTTGAATTACTGAATACCAGGTTTGATTTCCTTTTGTTTGTTTGTATGTATGTATGTATGTTTGTATGTTTGTTTTGTCAGTTGTCCGTAGTTTCAGCAGTTAAGGCAACAGATGCAGATCACTCCATCTTTTATATTCACTTAATAGTATCTGCATGATTGTAGCTAAAGGAGAAAGAATTAGAATTGTTTCTTAGATGTGGAAAGACTACACAGCAGATATGTAGGCAATAATGCCACTTTCCCCTTTGTATGTAAACTAGGTAAGACAATGTCTTTGGCTGGAATTTGACTCCTTTGATTTAGTGCAATTACAATAGTGTGTAGAATAAAACACATTTCATGGGACAAATGGAAATCTCCATGTTAATCTATGCAACATCCTATCATTTATATTTTAAAAGCTTCCTTGCAGAAGCAGAGATTAAAGTGCACAATAAAACTGGTAATTGTAGCAGATGTTTACTTAGACTGAAGCCTCTTTGTATCTAGGAATGATCCAGGTTTACTTATATCGGCTTGTTAACAAGCATACATTCTTGAAGCTACATTAACCTTGAATAGAAAAGACAGACCATGCATGCAGCTATTAAAACATAGGAAGCAAGTAGGATTAATTTTGTTCTCAGCAATATTCATTTAGAATCTTTTGTTTGCTACTTTGTGGGTGTTTGCAAAGTTGTTCCTTCCTTATACCCCCAAGATTAGATTCAGGAGTGTGGTGGAGAGGCACCTTTCATGTATCAAGTTTCTGTGATTGGGGGGCGGGGGCAAGCTTAAACCTTGTACATTTGGGAATGATTTTTTGAAGAAGCAGACATGAGGACCTGGGCAAAACTTTTTTTCTAAATGACTGTCATACACCTCTGGAAAGTTGATGCGAAATGTTTTGCTTGGTATTTTTAATTGCATGTTCTTAAACTTCTTTTACCAGAGAAATAGGAAAAAATATCTTGTTTGTTGAAATATGTTCTTGCTTTGCATTTTTATGAAGATATATCTGAAACTGTGTTAAGATTCTGTGACATGCCATGTCCTTTACTTTCCATGTTTTCTTCTAATAAATGTTTTATTACTAGTATAATTGTCTTGGATGGTCTTTAGTTTAGCTATTCTTTTATCCCAAATGAGTTTTGAAGGTGCAAAATATTTGATTGTTCTAATTGATATTATGAAATCAAACTGGGATCCTTAAGAGATGCTGGCTTTTGTGATATACTCCTTGTCACATTAACTGAAGTTCTGTGCTTCATACAGAAAGTTTAATCATACATTTTCCTACCAGCTGTTTTTCTTTTAGATCATCTTGAAGACTGCATTTCCAAATACAAGTAGACTAGTAAAGTGTACTTGCTAAAAGTATGTTGAATACGCTGTTGGATCAGTGCTTGTTTCATTCATTGTAAAATCCACACTAGTTTGGCAGAATAATCAGTTCTCTTCCAGAATGGTTACTGTCATGTTGAGAGGAATGATTTGTTGAAAAATGGGACAAACGTCCACATAATATGTTTTTTAAAAATCCATTGTATATCACTGATGTAGAATTGATAATTAAATAACAAATCAATGTTAGAAGGAAACATTGTCATTTATTTCACACTATACCACAACACAAGAATAAATTGAACATCAAGAACAAATTTACTTCTCTCACACTCCATATTGGTTGAATGAGAAAGTACTCTCTACTTATAATTAGCCAAAATGTTAGCTAACAATTTTGCCTATTTAATCTTGGAACCCTAAAATGAAAAATACGAGTACTGCACTATTACAAGTGAGAGAATCAAATGCTTTTCACTGGTAGAATATATAGATAAGCAATGTTGCTGAGGATGAACGGGCAAATGCAGGGCACAAAGGCAGATCTGTCTTGCCGATCAGAATGTTTGGAAATAAATAGGTGCAATTTTGCTAGCCATTACCTATCTCCCTGAGCAGTCCTCTAGAGCCATAATAAAATTATAGGCACACAACACCAGTCAGAAATGGCTAATAAATAATCTTCTCATATCAATAGTAAACTAGCGAACCCTAGTCACTACAGAGATGAGTAGCTCAGGATTCAATCTAGCAACTTGCTAACTATGGATAAACATGTTTTTTTTTTAATCTCTATAGCATGGTCTCAATATCTTTTTTCAAGCAGGAATTATTTTCTAGGCCTGGAGAATCCACCAAAGCCTTCATTATCTCCTCAGGAGCTTTCTGCATCATCTCCTGACTCAAGCAGTTATATAGAGTGGAAGAAGCAGGAAAGTATTCCAGTGTAGCACCACTGCTGGCTAACTGTATAAGCCAATTTCTGGCAACCAAAGGCATAGCTATGGCTGTTGCAGAGGCTGTGCCCCAGCTGGCCATACTTAGACTGATACTATTGGTAGCATGGGATGCTAGGCCACCATAATAACAGCTCCCTCCTGTGCTGGTGACACGGGTCTTCTGCTTTATATCCAGTAGCAAATTTCTCCGGAACCAAGCTTTTTTAATTTCAGCTTGTACCTAGAGATAGAGACAGGTCATCAAAGGAATGAAGCTTGGCTAATTCAACATTTGTCTTGTTCTCAATTCTGAATATGTGGTAGAAGCAGCTTTGGTCCAAATTATCAGATGCCCACAATTCTTCACTTTTTCCTAAAACTCCATATGTACTTATTTTTCCAATTGGAAAGTTAGCCCTAAATTTCAAATTGGATAACCCATCACAGTCTTAGGATGGAATGTTACCCCAAATTATATTTTAGGTTTGTTTTTCAAAAAAGTGATAGATAAAGATTAGTGTGTATTTTTAAAAATGAGCATGATTTGTGTAGGCCTGATATATGCAATTGCCATTTTTGACTAAGTTCATACAAACTAAATTAATTACATTTTATTGCTTATTAAGCGTGATTTATTGTGCTCATACATAATACTAAGCAAGACCCAACATCAAATGCCATGGCTTAGAACAATGATGTTCTAATCACTAACTCCAAACAAAGTACTTGAAATTTCTCGACTGCCTGTGAAGATTGGAGGCATTGTGTTACACTGGTTCTACTACCAGTGTACTGATAGTCTACTACCTATCTACTCCATGATTAGGTCTAGTCAGTGTGTGAGCAGAGGTGGGAAGTCAAATTCTTGGCCACTCCTATGTGGGATGCCACAGGGCTCATATACAGTATTGTTCTCCATGTTATTTAACATAATACTGTTGAGAGAGGTCATTATTGGATCAGAGTGAGACATCAGCTTCTCCTCCCAACCTCTGGTCAGAATGATCCCCTTTCTGTTATTCTTCAGAAAAGGACTTTACATCTTACCCAGCCTTTGGAGAATAGTCCCAAATGTGCTTTTTCAGGAGGCAATTGGACTTTATTGTTTTTTCTTTGAAGACATTTTGCTTCTCATCCAAGAAGCTTTTTCAGCTCTGACAGGATAGTGGGGAATGGAAGGATTTATATTCCTTGCAGGCAGCTGGTCATTTGCATCATTTTAGGATCGTTGAAGCACTTGGAGGTTTAGAGCTAAAGAAGCTTCTTGGAAGAGAAGTGAAACATCTCCAAAGAAAAAACAAGAAAGTCAAATTGCCTCCTGAAAAAGCACCTTTGGGACAACCATGACCTGGATGATCTGCAGACTTTGGAGAATAGTTCTTTTTTTTTTTCCTAGCCGTGGTTAGTTTTAGGGTTATGTTGAAATTGTTTTCTTTTGTGAAGGTTTTCACCCTTTACATTTTAAGATTGTGAGCCTCTCAGGATTAATGGTTGGGTTGGAATACAAATTATATGCAATCAACTAGTCAATCAGAAAAGAGGATCCTGGGCCAAAAAGCACAGCTTTTAGCAAAGCTCCATTTGGGAAATGTAAATATTTCATGCAAAGCAGTATTATTTTTCTGGAGGAGAAATACAAGTCAGATAAAGTGACAGAGTTAATAAATTGGTGGTTGTACTTGAAAATCCATGCAAACACTGAAAAGCCAATTTTATACCCATGCTCATGTTTGTGCCTACATAGACATAGCCGCAAAATCCGTGTTCTTACCTCACCATTGCAAAAACAGTAAATTAGAGCCACGAAGAAGCCCTAACCAGAGACAGAGACAAACCAAAAGTCAGAACTAGTTGGAAGAGAATGATTCAAAAGCAAGATTCATAAGCAAAAACTCACCTGTAAAGAATTGAAGAGCATCTCATAATGCATCTGTATCTGCCAAAGTGTGCTGGAGACAGTTGTGTAAGGCGTAGCCATGAACACCATGTAATGGACACCAAAGAGGGGCATCAGGACTAGGGTTGACTTCAATAGTTTTCTGAAAATAGCGGGATGGGGAGGGAGTATATTTATGCTATCATGTCACCCCCCTGTTCTCCAGAAAAGTGTTTCAACCTTGGCAACTTTGAGATATATGGACTTCAACTCCCAGAAAGTTTGGGTTTGTTTAAAATAAACAAAACAGAATGCTTGATAGTAATAAGATCGGTGAAAGGTTGACCCTTAAAAAGCACTAGAAGCATGCACAGCAGTTTTACGTTTAAACTATTAAAAATTACTGCAAAAAGGACTGCACTTGTTATCCTACTGCAGGAAAGCATTCATGTTGACCTATACAGCAGGGGTCCCCGGTCTGTTGACTGGCACCAGTCCTCAGAATGCCAGAAACTGGATCACACAAGCAAGCAAAGCCCCATCCATGGGATGCAGGCAGCACCATGCCCCCTCTGGTCCATGGAAAAACCTCTCTCCACAGAACCGGTCACTGGTGCCCACTGCTATACAAAATTACCAGAGTGGATGAGACTAGAATTTGCACTCTTGCTGGGAAGTGATAAAGGGGAGAAATGAGTGCTTTAAACTGTCCCTGGGGTAATTTGGTCTGATGTTTGTGTTTTTATTAAGAGGTATATTTTTTTGCCACTTAAAACTCTCACAAGACTCACATATACACATTCACACATACCCAAACCCGCCCTGCCTGCTTTACATTGCTTTGGGAGCTAGAAATGAGAATCAGGATGGCTGTATCCAGTCCATAGACGACCCAATCCTGCCCTCGATCCAATTTATTTATTTATTTATTTATTACTTAAATTTTTATACCGCCCTTCTCCCGAGGGACTCAGGGCGGTGCACAGCCAGCAATAAAACACACACACACATAAAATTTAAAAACAATTTAAAATATATTAAATATTATATTTAATAATATTATTAAAAAACTAAGACAACCATTAAAATTCATGTTAAAATTCTATTGTGGATAGTATAAATTGGGGTCTATTTAATAGTTCTTGTTATTTTAGGGGATTTCTTTTTTAAAAAAAGAAAGATGTTGCAAGAATTGGTGGAGATCCAGCATGATAAACCATTTTGACTTCACAGATAGGATCTGAAAAAAAAAAATCACTTTGCTGCTAAGTAATCTAAAGTAATGAAAATATAGTTGAAAATGGAAGTGACCATTGTATTCCAGAATGTTAACAAGATTGCTATTAACATTCTCAATTAAAAGAACTGAAATAATAGTTTACTGCAGAGCTAACAGAAAATCTAGTTCTGCTATGCCTAAATACATACCTGTACTGTTGTCGTGGATCTAATTTCCCTGTGTTTGTTTCCCATAATTTGGATGCCAGTACTCTCACAATGTTGAGGAAAAGAAAAAAGTTCACCTGCCAGCAACACAGAAACATTGAGATAGACATTTTCTATAGTGGTGGAATTACTTGCTTTATAGTCCTTGACTTACAATCATTCATTTGATGACCAAATTCAGGTGTTTGGCCACTGGCATCTATTTACAATGGTTGTAGCATGGAGGGTGTGTGTGTCATGTGATCACCATTTGGGATCTTCCCGACTGACTTCCAACAAGCCAAGTTAATGGGGCAAACTGGATTTGCTTAATGACTGAATGATTTACTTAATTGAAAGCATTATAAATATGATTAGTAAGTCAGCTACAGGAAACATGTATTACCAAACTCCCAGACATTCTTTGCCCTTCTTACCATGATCGCTGCTAAGATTGGGACCTGGTAGATCCATTTCATGTTTCCAGCACTGAGGTCCCAGCATCTGAAAGAGAGAGACTTGCATTCATCCATAAAAGTTTATTTTAATCAGGATATGACCTAACCTCTCTCCCAACTCTTCCACAATCACAGAAAATGATTTTTAGTATCCACAATTCTTTCTCCTCTTTTTCTGTTCAGGTAGTCTTTTTGAAATACCCACTGAGTTTACTTTTCAAGAAAGCTTACAGCCTTCTTCAGGGATTTAAAAGAAATGATCCTGGAAGCTAATGCATTGTTTTACAGTATTGATGCCAATTATATAAATGTCATCCATCTACACATATCTATATGTGTGTAAAAAAATGGGAGTGGCATAAAACCTGGTGGGTTCTAAGGAAAATGCCTGGGATGCACACCTTGAGTACCATTTGAGATTTGGAGATTTAATTTCTACTCCCTAGACCAGGGGTCTGCAACCTTAAACACTCAAAGAGCCATTTGGACCCGTTTCCCACAGAAAAGAAAACACCGGGAGCCACAAAACCCTTCCTGTGCCTGACTATTTCTTGAGTGGCCACAAAACTAGCATATGCAGTTCTGTTTTCTTCTGAAATTTTTCTTTTCTTGGATTTATCCATAGTTGGCCTACCGGAGGGGTCGAAAAGCTCAATAAATCGTGTGCCAGTGGGTATCACACATTCGCAGTTGTGACATATATTTTGAGTGACAGGGAGCCACAGCCAAGAGGTGAAAGGGCCACATGCGGCTCCAGAGCCGCAGGTTGCTGACCCCTGCCCTAGACCCTTACTCCCTCCCTGCCACTGTGGTGAGGGTAGTTTGCTTCCAATCTTTCAGGGTAAGATGTAAGCAAAGTAGAAGCTACGTACTGTGTATCTGCCAGAGATGCTCTTACACCGGCCCAGATGGATACAAAGACAGCAGGTGACCCTCAAAGGAAGAAGAAAAAGAAAAGCAAGCAGAAAGAGATCTGGGTTTCCAGTGATATCTTAACAAGACACCAGGGGAAAAACAGAATAACACCGTACCTATCCCTTCATCCTGAAGGGTGAGAGAAATAGTAAAAAGTTGGGAACTCGAGACACCTTAAGGGGAGACTACAATACCTAGTGCAGTGGAAAGGATCTCCCTCAGCAGATGCTGAGTGAGTGGGAGCTCACAACGTTAGAGCAGAGAAACTAGTAAGAGGCACCAGAGGCAGTTCTGGTAGCCCAAGAGCACAACTGAAGTAATCAGGGACATTCTGGAAGAGGGGTCAGAAAAGAAGACAATGATCATGACCTTGTGATCAAAGCTTCACCCCTTGTAACACATGTAAAAGGAGCAGTGCTTTTAACTGTGCAATTGGGGATGCCCTTTTGATTTTTTGGATTTTCCCTGCTGCTGCTGAAATTACAAGAGTTTAAAAGCCTTTTACATTGAGGGTGGGGAGTAAACCTGCATCCTTCAGTATCTCTACATTAAGCTACTAATCCAATTTGCAGAGTCAGAGATAAGCTGAGGATAACAGCAGAGGATAACCTGCGAACTGGACTGTTCTTACCCCATCCAATGAGGGTGAGGGCCCACAAGTAGCTTTTGTTGGACAGGAAAGCCATGAAGATTAAACTGTGGAGGTAGAGGCCTTCCACCAAGATCCAATAGTGATTGGTAGCCAGGAAATAGAGGAAGACAGTCACTGCTACTTTGCAACCTGCCTGGAGGAATGGAGAAACATACCACACATGTCTTTTAGCTAAACTGGCACAACCAAGAGCGTGTAGCTGCTTTTAGGTTCTGATATTTCAGTTTCTTGCAATCCTGTCTGTTCCTATAGATACAGTGCAAGTTATTCAATTCTAAAAGTGTTTTACTGGATCAAACTCAACTCTACTTCCTTTAACATTTTGTCTTCAGTGTCAGGCAGCTGCCAAGAAGATCGTGCAAAGTACCTAATGTTTTTTTCTGGTTTACTCCAAGCATTTGATAGCAATAGCAATAGTCCTTATGCTTATATATCGCTTCACAGTGCTGTACAGCATCTCCAAATGGTTTACAGAGTTGTTCTGCCCCAGCTACGGATCCCAAAGAACACAGCACACATAAACTCTGAACAAAACTTAGTTTACTCAAATAACACAGTTTTAGTAAATGCCGGCTGTTAATAAGCATTCTTAACAGCCTGCCAGAATTCCACAGATAAGATAGTCAAAGTCTTACTGGAGTTGGCAGAAAGCCCAGAAGCAAGGTTGCAGAGAAATCCTCATGTGATGATTAGTGAACTAAAGTTGTTTCCTGCAGCTTGTTGCAAGCTGCGTTCTTTCTTAAATAGGCTAAGGGAGTGGCCAATTAGCCCCAAGCCTTACTCTCGAGGAGACCTCCTCCTGAGGAACCACTCCTGCCTTTTGGCAGCTCTGCGTGCCCGTGCATTGAGAAGAGGCTCCTCCTCTTCATCCTCTTCACTTAAAGGAGCCTCTGGAGGTACTGAAGGCCCTGACTGAATCCTTGCCTCTGGTACTACATCTTCTCCAGCCTCCTCACTGTCCGACTCGAGTGCTGGCTGCAGAGGCTGCTGGCGCAGCACTACACCAGCCTCCTCATTGTTAGGATCAGCAACAATCCATACAGGCCACTAGCGGGCCACAATATGAGTCAGCCTATTGCCCCCAACAATCTGCATCCTCAATTTATCGACCTTGGAAGGATGGAAGGCTGAGTCAACCTTGAGCTGGTGAGAATCGAACCCTTGGCAGTTGGCAGAATTAGCCTGTAATACTGCATTCTAACCACTGCACTACCACAACTGCTGATACTGCTGTACTGAATGCAGAATTTCTATTAAGGTGTTCTGGTAAATACAGGTAGTTCTCAACTTACAACATGTCACTTAGTGACCATTCGAAATTACATCAGCACTGAAAAAAGTGACGTATGACTGTTTTCACACTTAGGACCATTTCATGTCCCCATGGTATTGTGATCAAAATTTGGATGCTTGGCAACTGGCCTGTATTTATGACGGTTGCAGTATCCTGGGGTCACGTGATCCCCTTTTGCAACTTTCTAACAGGCAAAGTCAACGGGGAAGTCAGATTCACTTAACAACTATGTTATTAACTTAACAGCTGCAGTTATTCACTTAATAACTATGTTAAGAAAGGTCATAAAATGGGGCAAAATTCACTTAACAAAATGTTAAGCCACAGAAATGTTGGACTCAGTTGCGGTCACAAGTTGAGGACTACCTGTCCTATGAGTTGTCATGTTTTGTATATTACCGTGATGGCAAACCTATGGCACGCGTGCCACAGGTGGCACGCATAGCCATATCAGTGGGCACGCCAGCTCAGCTCTGGCGCGCATGTGCGTGCCGGCCACCTGATTTTCAGGCCTTTTGGGACCACCAGAAGTAGGGAAACATGCTGTCTTCTGCCTCTGGAGGGCCTGGGGGTAGGTGGGGAAGGCTATTTTCGCCCTCCCCAGATGCATAGAGAGGATCTGGAGCCAGGTGACAAAGAAAAATGGGCCAGGAGCAAGGGGGGAGGGGAGGTTGGGCGCGCATGCGCAGGGCGGGGTGCATAAAATTATGGGTGTGGGCACGTGCGTGTGCGAACCTCCCCCGCCCCCCTCCTTCCTGGCACACGATGGCAAAAAGGTTAGCCATCACTGGTATACTATATTAATTGTGTTACTTTGAATTTACTGCCCATTGGGAATAACTACTTGTAGGACTCATTGTGCAATCTGGGGACATTGTTTGAAAGACTGTATTGTTGTTTTTCTGCCTTTATGAACAAAGGAACCTATAAGGACTTGTCCTTTTAAACCATACTATGGGAAGTGTAACTTAACTATTAATTACCAGAAACCATTCATTGAAAACAAACCCACTCCCAGGGCTTGAGGGTGCAGCTGAACATGCTTCTTTGACCCCCCCCCCCAACTACTGTGGTTTATTCAACAACAGGATCCAAACAAATTTGCTTGAAGCAATGTCAGCTCATTGGGGGGAAGGAGTCACCAAGAAATTCTTTTGTCATGGAACTTACCAACTGGGTTCTGGATCCCAAAGTGAGGGTCAGCTCTTCAGCATCCCAATCATGGTCTTGTCCTTTCAACAGTCCTTCCGGTCGGAAGGTAGAATATAAAACTATATCTTTCACAAAGATGCTCCCAGCTCGGCAGATGAAAGAGGCAAAAAGGTGGAGATGGATATAGTTCCGATTGCAGTGAAGGCGCCTTTAATACACAACACACAGGAAAGGTTTAATTTACCCATTAGTTGTATTTTTAATCTAGTCTTTCTTCCAAGGAGACATATGTGATGTAGCTTCTCTTTCTTTTTACCTTCTATATTCAGTGTTTCTCAACCATGGCAACTTGGAGATGTATGGACTTCAATTCCCAGAATTCCCCAGCCAGTCATGCTGGTTGAAGAATTCTGGGAGCTGAAGTTCACAGATTTTTGAATTGTCAAGTCTGAAAAACACTCTTTTAGTTTAACTGAGAGAGACCCAAGATTTCTCCGCTTCAAAGCCCAGAGAGGGCTTGCATCTGAGTTTTCTTCCTAATCCATTGACTAAATTGGTTTGCAACAGTGGAAAAGCCAATGTTATAGCCATACAACAGAGATAGGGATATACAATAGGCCTCTGTCCTTACTTGAAGAAGCAAAGGATACACATAGCAACCACAAGGGAGGCCAGGGAGATAGAATAACCAACTGTATAGATGATGTGCAAACGGTCAAACACCTCCTAGAAAAAGAAAAGAGAAATATACCTGAATAATGAAGCTTTAAGATCACTTTAAGATCATTATGCTAACTTGGGTGTGTGTGTGTGTGTATATATGTGTATATATATATATATATATATATATATATGTGGCTGGCTGAAGAAGTCTCATAAGACAGAAATAGTACTATCCCAGTCTCCCTTAGTCTCACAACAGACAACACAAAATGTCTGATAAAGCCTGAAAGTGGTGATTTGAGATATCACCCCACTATGGCTATACAAACATCTTGAGCTACGTAGGAAAAAATCCCTACTAGAAAAGTATTATACATGTGAACCTACGAATTAAAAGAACAAAATAAAAATAAATATTTGACCTTTACAGGGAGGAGTTATAAAATAAGGATGTGGCTGGCTGAAGAATTCTCATAAGACAGAAATAGTACTATCCCAGTCTCCCTTAAGTCTCACAACAGACAACACAAAATGTCTGATAAAGCCTGAAAGTGGTGATTTGAGATATCACCCCACTATGGCTATACAAACATCTTGAGCTACATAGGAAAAAACCCTGACTAGAAAAGTATTATACATATGAACCTACGAATTAAAAGAACAAAATAAATATATTATTTTATATTATTTATAATATATATATATACACACACACACACAGTGGATTGTGATTTCACTGAACTAGGGCTGCATAAAAATCTTGGTTTATGTAGGAAGAACCTGGCTAAAGAGAAATACACATAAAGGCCTACAAAAAGAAAAGAAAACATATGTATGTATGTATTGTATATATATATATATATATATAAAGAAGATCCCATCTATTTCATTTGAGCAGAAACAGCAGAATGGAATAATAATATGTATTGAAGGTCCAATAAATCAGGCCAATGCTAAATGCTAAAGTCAGTTTATGGTCACTTACAGGGAATCCTGTAATGATTCACACAAGTATCATGGCAATAATACAGAAGTTTATTACTACTGCCATCTCCTGCTGCATTTTTTTAAAAAAAATCCTAGTGTAGTTACCAAGAAAGTTCCTTAAGAATTTTCACCAAAATAATAATTGGGTCTCATTGTGCTTAACTTTTCAAATTAACAAAGTGGATAAGGTGCTGTAAATTAACTGATCAACAGATCAAGTAACAAGGCTTTTTTTCTAAAACAAATGGGCCTTAAATGAAACAGTCTTTTTTCAGTTCTACAAAAAAATATAAAGGAAGCAACAATGCCGAGGGGATCCCTTTCATGATTTTTCCCTCTATTGCAAACAAAGAATTGCAAACTTTCACCTTTTCTTGGTCCTGCTGTTCTGGGGCAAAGAAGAGGACACATTCTGTGTAATTGGCCCAGGTCTTGTTCGTATTAGGGACCAATTGCCAGTTTCCATCATCATCACAACGTCTGTAGGCATGACCTGAAATAAAGAACAAGGGGAAAGAGGTATGAAAAAACCCAGGGTTGTCTACAGAGGATAGTACAAACAGTCAAGATGGTAGCTATGTGGATATGATCAAAACTCCTCTATTATCTATGTTGTCACAACACACACACACAAAACCAAGCAAAATTTTACTGCCCTGTCAGCACTGCCATTTTGACTTTTTCTACCAAATTCTAAAAGCACTCCTGCAAAAGAACCTTCAAACCAGTCAAAGTAGGAGATTCAACTAAGGCTTGCCATAGTCCATTTTTATGAATATAAAAAGGTAAATGTTAATTGTTTGGGGTTTGGTGGCTAGATCGGTGTAGCTTACTTAGAAACAAAATGGAAATGTTTTGCCAGTGCTTTCTCTCAAAAGGTTTCTTTATCTCAAAAATCTAGTCTTCAGCTCTGGGATTTCCAAGCGATCTGTCATTCAACTCCTAGAAATTCAAACATTGACATTAGACAAAGTGCTGCTCCTTAGCTGCATTATATGAAAGAATGATAAACCCAATAATGTTCCCAACACTGTGTCAAGGAATAGTGAGGAAAGCTGCCTGATTCCCAGCACAGAGGCACAGTTCAATTTCTTGTATGGAAAGGAAGAGCATCATTTTGCTCTTTTCTGTAAACAACACAACATTTTGTCTAAGTTACTTTGATATGCTTGACACTCCTTTTGCTCTGCAGCAAAAAAAAAAGTGCCACATTTCTTCAGCAGGAAAGAAAGAAAGAGTGTTGTCCTTGCTTCAATCTGTCACCTTATAGATACTTATGCTAGCTTGAAGTTGATGGGAGTTGAAGTCTGACATAACTGACTTCATTGTTTGGGGACTGATGTAGAACAACCATAGGAGTGTATATGTCAAGATAGTCATGAAACTGCATGAATGAAGCTGGCCCTTTTTACCTACGTCATATAAGACAACGGTCCTCAATCTTGTGGCTTGGTGGCCCAGCGGGGGAGTGGGAGGGGAACCAGGCCATGCAAGTAGCGGACTGGCATGCATGCTCATGAAAGCACAGGTTGACTTGCACAAGTTGAGTGGCATACACATGTGCACACCAGCCCAGTTTGCGCAGCCTAGTTGCAAATAGGCCATGGCCTGATAGTGGGCCACAGCCCAGGGATTGGAGACCCCTGTTATAAGAGATGGAAAAAGAGGCTGGGAACTCATTACATGGTGTTAATGCCATCTTAACTTTTTGAGCCTTTAACCTTTGACTCCGTTATATAGATTGAATTTCTTCCAGTATCTGAAAGCAACCGGATCTTTATAGTCTGCCTTTATTTCAGAATAGGATTATGTATTTATATTTATCTAAGTTCTCTCTATAGTTACAACTGTATGAGTTGGGCTGACCCCAAACCAAACCAAACCAAGATGGACCTGAAGCTGAGTTTCCTCAGCCCTAGTCCAACATCTTATCCATAGTATCACAGTCTCTTTGCATTAAAAAAATAGATTGGCATCCCATGTAAATGATTGTTCCAAAAACATTCTCAGGGGATGCCATTTTCTTTAGGACCATAAACAGGAAAATATTCAAAATCTTATTTCCTGCCTTCTATAATTTCAGTGTCAGACCCACTTTTTAAAAAATTGGGTGCTAAATTTAAAGATGCAATTAAAATCCTCAAATATCCAAAAGATCTTATAGACTTTTACAGGATTCTATGATAACAAACTTACCATGATGGTTGAAGTCATAGATGTAGTCTGGACAAAGAACCACTACTTTTTTACCTGGGAGACTTGCTGGCCAGCAAATGATTCCATCCCATTCAGGTAAACAATAACCATCTAACAAGGTTATTGTTTCACAAGTCAAGGGAAAGAGATGTGGGAAAGAAAGAAAGAATCATGAACAGAGGGGTAAAAAGAGATTTTAAAATGATTTTATTTATTTATTTATTTATTTATTTATTTATTTATTTATTTATTTATTTATTTATATTTGAATTTATATATCACCCTTCTCCCCCTAGGGACTCAGGGTGGTGAACAGCTGAAATTAAAATACATACAATATAAAAGTTAAGATAGCTAAAATAAATTAAATCAATCGGCCCCCAATTTAAAACCCCAATGCAGACAATAGCCAATATGCCTCTTATTTTAGTGCTGTGCTTAAACTGAATAGATGGCTTGCATTATAGTTCTTGAAGAGTTTACAGGTAGTCCTTGACTTATGTCCACAATTGGGACCAGAACCTCTGTTACTAAGTGATGTCATTGTTAAGTGAATCAGGCCTAATGTTATGACTTTTTTTTGCGATGGTTTTTAAGCAAAGCAATGGTTCACTGTGATCCAGTTTTGCCAAAATCCAGAAGTAAATGCCGACTTATGACCTTAGAGGTGGAGTATCTATCAGAACTGGGTTTTAGGTGCCGCTACAGAGATCTATCATAATTTCAAATAGTTGTAAATTAAGGATTACCAACAAGGTAGAGTGGTCTGAATAGAATTTGGAGCACAACCGGCACCCATCCATGGTTTTCCCATAATGGCAGCAAATCTTGGATTTCCATTAGAACACATAGCCAATGTTTTTATAACAATATAAAATCAAAACTTGTACCTTGGATTTGCTCTTTCTGGCCATTTATCTGATTGTGACATGTTGATTTTGCTTCATTCAGCAAATAAATCTGTTCTTCTTTGGTTAGAACATCATCAGTGTCCACCTGCCAAACATATAAGGAGAGAGAAGTAAGACACAGGGGGCTGCTCCATTCATTTACATCTGGCTCCTTCTTTCCCAAAACTGGGTTCATGAAATATCAATCCACCAACCTAGTCCTGGGAAAGAGAAATACAAATTTATTTGAGTTTTATTTCCAAACAAAATAGGGTGATCAAGTCTGCTCTGCAAGACCTTCTGAGGATATTGTGCCACATCAGCTATCAAATCGACACCAAATATAATACAATAATTGCTATAGGAGGGGGGGGGGAGATAAGTTAGTCAGACAAAGAAGCACAAACAAACATAATTCAATCCTAAACAATGATCAATCTTCATTCATTCACTCATACATCACCATATTTTGGATACCTAGTCGAAAGTGAAAGTGAAATAGGACAGAGAAAATGGATTGGCACTCAAGGAGTCTGAAGATTGCAGATAGAATCACCTGAAGATAATATTTCTACGGAAAGTAAAAGGGAGAACTTCTGCTGTACAGTATCCAGCTGCCGGGAGTTTTTTCTTATTGGCTAGTTCCAGGGGTGGGTTCTACTTACCTTTACTACCGGTTCGCAACGAGGCCGCACGCAGAAGCGTTATGATGACGTCGGGCTTGGTGGGCGGAGCCTCCCACCGGTTTTACTACTGGTTCTATAGAACCAGTGCGAACTGGGGGCAACCCACCGCTGGCTAGTTCTCAAATACTAAAGTTCTGTGACTCTTTTACACATTCTGAATTAAGAAAATGTCATTGCATTCTAGCTCACTGGCAATAAAAATCACCCTGCATTCATGAACCCCCTCCATTTTCTAATTCCAGGAGTTGAGTAGCAGTTTTTCTGAAACCTGGTGTTGATCTTGTTGAGAGTCTGATACATACATGACAGATCTTATACATGTAATATAATATCTGTAAAAAAGTCATTTTTGGGAACCTTACAAACCTCTTCACAAGCTGTGCTTTCAGGTAGCACCGATTTTTCACAATAGTCTAATTATTGCTAGTTTGAGAAGATACTCCCAAACTTACTTTAGCCAATTTATACAATTTCCATTCATTTCTTCACTGATATGCTGAACACGACTGTGCCAGTGATGGGTTGCCCCCGCTTCGCACTGGTTCTATAGAACCGATAGTAAAACCGGCGGGAGGCTCCGCCCACTGACCCCGATGTCATCAGAACGCTTCTGCACATGCGCAGAAGAGCATGCATGTAAGCAAAGTGAATGCACATGTGCGGCCCTGTTGCGAACCGGTAGTAAAGGTAAGTGGAACCCAGTCCTGGACTGTGCCCATATAATTCAGGGCTACATTTGTTATTCCTGTAGTCTCTGCTGTTTAAAATCATAACAAAATCATGTTAGAAGAAGAAGAGTGTAAAGTGTTGTCCAATAGCTTCAGCAGGTTAAACCTATCACCTCTCTCCTGATCTTTCAGAAATTAAGCAGGACTAGGCCTGATTGGTACTTGGATGGAGGACCCTGGGGAAACTAAGGCTTTATGCTAAGCAGGGAAAATATAGAAATATTCTGGAAGAAGGGAACTTCAGTCTTTGCTTCCCACAAAACTACAAGGATATGTATCAAGTCACCAGGGGTCAAGCTTTATTCCTCACCATCTCCCCCCCCCTTTTTGTTGCAATATTTTCAGGATCAGACTCAATAAAGATAATTGGAGTTAGAGCTTTAAATATATTTCTTTTTAATTATGATAGGCATTCTATATTCACTGAATATTCAAGGTAGAAGCGACGAGAATGGTGAGGGTGGCTCCTTATATATACAAGGGGTGGAGCTAGGAATGGGAGTGGTAAGTTATGAATACATTAAAGTCCAAAGAATAAGTTAACCTCTGATGTTCCATATATACATTATTTACACATTGGAGAATAAGGCATTTACATCTGACACTTTTAAATTTCACATTTATTGATTTGTTTATATTAATTCATGTACGGTCCATCTTCCAAGACTCTAGTACAGTGGTGGCTAACCTTTTTGCCGTTGCATGCCAGGAGTGGGGGGGGGAGTCATGCACGTGTGTGCCCACACCCATAATTCTATGTGCCTTGCCCCTACGCGCGCATGACCCCCCCAATCTCCCCACACTCCTGGCACGCGATAGCACAGTAGGCCCATTTTTTGCTCTCCCCAGCCTCCAGAGCCTTTCTAGGAGGCTGGGGAGAGAGAAAAACAGGCCTTCCCCACCACCCCTCAAGGTCCTCCGGAAGCAGGAAACAGCCTGTTTCCCTATTTCTGGTGGGCCCAGAAGGCCTGAAAATCAGCTGGCCAGCATGCGCATGCACATGCGCGCCAAAGCTGAGCTCACGTGCCCACTGATATGGCTACACGTGCCACCTGTGGCACCCATGCCATAGGTTCGCCATCATGGCTCTAGGAGGTTTGCAATAAGATTAAAAGCAAATACAGGTAGTCCTCAACGTATGACCATGATTGAGCCCAAAATTTATGTTGCTAAGTGAGGCAATTGTTAAGTGAGTTGCATGTTATGTTATGATGTTTTATGCCACACTTGTTAATAGAATCACTTCACCTGTTAAGTGAATCATGTGGTCATTGAGTCTGGCTTCCTCCATTGATTTTATAGGAAGTCTGGGAAGATTACAAGTGGCAATCACAGGACGCCGGAACAGTGCAACCATCATAAATACATGCCAGTTGCCTAGTGCCTGAATTTTGATCATATGACCATGGGAATGCTGCAATGGTTGTAAGCGTGAAAAATGATCAAAAGTCACTTTTTTCAATGCTGTTGTAACTTTGATCGGTCACTAAGCAAATTGTTGTAAGTCAAGGACTACCTGTATAGAAATTAAAATTTTGCTTCTGAAACAAAAATCATGATTGTGTTCTATTAATTATTTTGATCGCATTCTAAGGCTGTGGCAAATAATACAAATCATTGTATATTGATATCGATATCAGTAAGGCTATATTTGATCCATCTATTATTTTTCTGACTTGTTTGGAGGAGTATGCTGGCTGAGGCTTTGGGGAACCTGAACTCCAGCAAATCTGGAGGCATATAGGTTGGAGAAATAGAGATTAGTCTAGATATTGGATGGATGGATGGATGGATGGATGGATAAATAGACAGGGATGGATTGAGAGAAACACATAACAGTTTAAGTAATCTGAGAATGGCTCCTGAAAAATGCTCCCTTAATTATGAGCCGTAGGAGATGGTCCAGGGAAGCCAAACTTTTTGGTGGCATCAGATGTATAAAAAGCTATGTTCAGAGCATGACTTTGAGATTGCATTGTGTTAGTCAAGGACTGACTCATTTCCTGTGAAAAATTGTCAGGAAATGGGAGAGTTCAGTAAGATAAAGCAAGGCAGCACTAGAGATTACTCAAGTGGGCCCCAGTAATGACAGCTGCAATTAGGTTGCTCATCTGCAAATCTTGATAAAGACTTTCACATTAATGAAATTTCCATTGTGTCTGTGGTAGCCCCTGGAGTGTGTGTATATGTATGGGGGAGCTGCAATAGGGCCCTGATGAAGCCCCAGCTGGTAATGAGGAGATTCATCAGGGACAATGCTGCCAACTGTTTAGTGCTAGGAATAAAAGGCAAGCTTTTCAGATTGGACATGAACAAAATGTGAGTCATAAAATCAAAAAGCAGAGAGAGAGGGGGAGATATTAGCAGGTTCATATCTTGGAAATCATCCATGCAATATAATAAAATCTATGGGTTCCATAATTCATGGGTTTTGGGTTGTTGTTTTTTTGGATGAGTATGGGGTAACATTTTAATTATTATAAATTATTGAAATACATTGGGTTTGCATATCCTTACTAAGCTACATTTTAATTTAGTTTTCTTGGTGTATTATTTACCTCCATTACAACCTGTAAAATAAGGTTTACAGCTGAGATGTGTGGACATGAACTAATGTTTATTTGTTCTGAAAAACATGGTTAAAGCTTAGTGCGCTTTTGTAGATGTACAAATGCTTTAGTTCCCAGCATTCCAGCCAGCTGACACCCAACACTTGTGGAGGGCATCAAGTTGGAGAAGACTGGACCATGGGTGAACCTTGCTTGAGGACCCAGATTGTTGGGGGCAATATGCTGACTCTGTAAACTGCTTAGAGAGGGTTGTAAAAGCACTATGAAGCTGTATATAAGTCTAAGTGCTATTTCTATTTCTATTGCTATTGCTATTGCTATTGCTACTGCTACTGCTACTGCTATTGCTATTGCTATTGCTATTGCTATTGCTATTGCTATTGCTTCAAGACCATCAGCGACAATGGTTAAGGCATCAGGCTAGTAAGAAGGAGACCACGAGTTCAAGTGCTGCTTTATCCATGAAAGCCAGCTGGGTGATCTTGGGCCAATCCCCCTCTCTCAGGCCAACTCACCTGTTGTTGTTGCAGGGAAAAATAGAAGGGAAGTGTACTAGATATGTTCACCATCTTGAGTTATTTGTAAAAATAATAAATACGAGATACAAATAAATAAAAATGCAAGCATATATTAAATAAAAATGCAGCAACAGTACAGGTAGTCTTCAATTTACAACAGTTTGTTTAGTGACAGTTCAAAGTTACAACAGAACTGAAAAAAGTGATTTATGCATTTTTTTATAGTTACGACCATTGCAGCGTTCTCATGGTCATATGATCAAATATTTATGACAATAGCATTGTCCTGGAGTCACATGACCACCTTTTGCGACCTTCTGACAAGCAAAGTCAATGGGAAAGCCAGATTCACTTTAACAACCATTTTACTAACTTAACAACTGCAATTATTCACTTAATAACTGTGACAAGGAAATTCGTAAGATGGGGCAAAACTCACTTGTCAAATGTCTTGCTTAGTAACAGAAACTTTGGGCTCAGTTGTGGTCATAAATCAAGGGCTGTCTGTAATGATGATATTAAAATCTCTGTATTTATTGAAATTGTGACATCCAGTTCGTTGGGTGGATAGATGGATAGAAATAATGTTTAAGGTGACCTCCTTCAGTTGGCAAAGATATCAAAGATTCCCTGCTAGCTTCTGAAATTCTTCTTCTGCAGACTCTGCAATTCCTACATTGCCATGTTACACCTCTCACCCCCTGAACAAACAGTCATTCTCCAATTGCTCTCTCAGATCACATAGGGATGCATAACAGCCGAGCCAGTGGAGAACAAGGCACCTCTTGTCCAGTGTAGCTTTTAACAACTCCATACTAAAGTTAACAAGCAATCCAGAGACAAACAGAAAGGGGGAATTGGGGCAATTGAAAATGTATGTGTTATATTCAAGTCTACCAGAAATCAGAAATGGGTGGTTATACTTTTCCTTTACCCTCTGGAAATCTGCAAGGATGGGAGAAGTACCAGGATTATTGCCTTGCCCCAGTGTTTTTCAAATTTGGCTACATAAGATGTGTAGGCTTCAACTCCCAGAAGTTGGCTGGGGAATTCTGGGAGTTGAAGTCCACATATCTTAAAGTTGCCACATTTGAAATATAGTGCTTTACAGGACCTTGCTGTTTTAATTCCTTAGTCAACAGCTATTCCATCAGCCTAGTTAGTTGTTACAAGAATTGTAACTTTAACAACTGGAATGGCTTTTGTTTATTCTTTCCTCTCTTCTCCCTCCACACACACTCAATCCGTTTTTCTTGTGGGACAAATGTAAACAGGAACTAATAATGCCTGTAAATAAGACCAAGTGGGATTAACACAAATTTCAAATACATCAATAAATAAAAGTCTTGCAACATACTTGTCTGTTTATCATTTTTGTGGATATCAGTTATGTGGATTGGATTTTAGTTTTTTCAAGCAGCGGAGAAATTTAAAAGATAACAGATGCTTTGCATTTAGGAAATCCCAGGATCAACTGCTGTGGTGGCTCATAACACGGCTGAAGTATTTATGTGAATGAGAGACAAGCCAAATGGTAACATTTCTCAGGGCAGAGATGACAATTATGTCAACAACCAAACAAGCGGAGGAGTTTATTGCAACATGAGCAATTGGAAAGAAGAAGTAACTTTGAACTATTGTGAATCTTAGAAAGGAAATGCCCCCTTGTGGTCTTGAAAGGAAATGAGCTTTCCACTGGGGCTTCATTATAGCTTGCATAAAGATTCTTCTATCTATATCCATAAAATGGGTCATTTTTCTGAGAGATTTCAGTTAAATCTGAACCTAGCAGCCTTTGTAACACAGGTAATGACTTGATAGAGTCTTAGAGCCATATCCTTTTCTGTTGTTCCCCTCACAAGGACTCAGGGATGATTCTCCTCTCCACAGACATTTTGGGGCAGAGAGCATAATTTCCACAATATTTGTCACTCCTCTTATCTGATAAGAACCCAAATGTATCCAGCCAAGTTCCCCAGTTTTGTGCTTCATTATATGTTATTTGCCTTACTTGTGGTTGAAGATTGATTCATTTACTTATTTGCATTTTATATCATTTTGTTATATTACAATTGTACTTCTATCCCTGTACTTTTTATATTGTATATTTCATTCTTCTGCCTTTGTTATGACATATGCATACTTATTGCTTGTAGATCGACATACATATGTATTTATATTCACACTTTTTATATTGTATGGTCTTATTCTTGAATAAAATGTTTGGTTTTATTTGATTTTGATACATGTAAGATTGGAGGAATTGACATTTACTACCAAACCTTGTTCCAGAGAGCAGGGCAGCAGGATGAACATACATATAGAAGTATAGAAAACATATTTATTACAATAATTTTATTTATTCAAGAAACTAAGGATGGTGCACATAGATTTTGTTTCATTATTTACTGGAATTCAGTCAGCGGTAGGTTACTACCGGTTTGCTCCGTATTGGGCAAACAGGTAGCGGTGGTAGGCTCCGCCCACCTGCCCGGATGTCTCTGCGCATGTGCAGAAGCTTCTGCACATGTGCAGAAGCATTGTGCGTGCACATGAGCGTGTGTGCACCTGCGAGCAAACCAGTAGCAGCCGAAATTGAAACCTACTTCTGAATTCAGTGCAATGAGATATGCCCAATCAACCAACCAATCGCTTGAAGATTGTCTTCTTTTACGAATCTTTTCATTTCCCATTCTAGCTTTAAGTCCAGGAATTTTCTGAGTATCCACCCACATGCCAGATCTGATTTTGCTGTCACTCAGCTATTCTGATGGTTGTTTATGATCTCTAGAATTCCAAGAAGCATTGGAAGAGGAGCATCCTCTCCATGTTTATGGTCTGAACTGGATGGGCTATTGGCTCTTTAGGCAGGTTCAACTAGTTTCCTACATAAAACAAATACTAAGATTATAAAACTAAAAATGGACTAGATGCACTTCGGAAAATAACCTTGATAGAAAACTCCTTGTATCAGTATGTACATATAGACAAACTTCACAACTGTTTGAGACATATTTGTGTGGGTTATTTTTTGATCAGAATCCCCAAATTATTCAGAGTGCAAAAAATAAGGGAGAATTTTGCCACACCCTTAAAGGAGGGGGTGGTACCTCCCTACCAGGGGTGGGTTCTACCTATCTTTACTACCGGTTCGCAACGGGGCCACATGCATGCACTTACTTTGCTCGCGCACTCTTCTGCGCATGCACAGAAGCGTTCTGATGACGTCGGAGTCGGTGGGCAGAGCCTCCCGCCAGTTTTACTACCAGTTCTATAGAACTGGCAACCCACCACTACTCCCTACGGATTGTACCTCTTCCTCCAAACTGATTCCTCACAACTATCTTGTGTGCTATGTTATACTGAGGTATCATGATGGAATCAAACTCATTCATTTACTAGATGATTGGTGTCATACAATATTCAGAGGTGGACACCTTTCAATGGCCAGAGTGGGGTCAGCTGAGTATAGAGGCAATGGGGGTAAGATTAGGATTTTCTGGTTTTAGGGGGGCATTGGGAAGTATTCTTTAAAAAAAACATTGTTAGGCCTTAAATTACATCTCAAAAATAATAGCAAAGTATGTTACCAGTTTTCAACAACTGTGGCCAATGGTGACTCTAATGAACAATGTGATTTTTAAAATTTAGCACCATTGTATCATATATCTTTTTTGCAATTTATAGAACAAATCATGACTAAAAAGTTCAAAATCTATGAACCTGAATCCAGAGTATGGTAGAGCAAAGATTTAAACTTGGAACTTCCTAATCCTCATCTAATATCTAATCATATATTTTTGCCTCAGGGAACACAAAGTATTTTTTTCAAATCACAGTAAAATCTTTCTGATAATGCTAACTGTGGCAGCATAGATGTAGTTCTTACAATAGTCCTGAAATTTTCCAAATGTGTACAATATGCATGCAGCAGACTTTGAAGACCGTGCAAACCATACCAGCAGAAATTATTAATTGCAAATTAATTTTTAGAGCCTTGTTTGGAGGATAAAAGAATAGATTCCATTATTTAATTATTCATTTAAAACAGTGTTGCTTGTTTCCTGATGATGTCTGTATATGAATAAGCTGGAATTTGTTAATCATCCTGTATTATTGGTTCACTCAAAACAGGAAGCCTAAATTTTGGTTTTCAAAGTACAATTCCTGGGTTATACAACATACTAAGCAAAGAATGTTATGGCTTAGCCACACTGTAAAACAGCCAGTAGCTAGATAGATATCATAGTTATGTCACACCACATAAATTTACTTAACTGTGCTTTATTGAACAGACTAGAATGGACTGGATTTATGTATAGTAAGTCATAACTATGATTTACAAGCTATGGTGGTTATTTCTTGATTTGCTTGCTATGGATGTCCATCCAGCATATGCTAGGCAACTTGCAACATTTGAGAAATAATAAAATCAATAAAACAGCACAGATAGATAATCATGACCATGGTTGGGATGACACACATGGGAAGATATTTTATAATCCTCCATAATGGATTTAGTGGTGTAAGAAAATAAACATTACAAAAGATGAAGGGAGACAGAGAAGAGCTACTATATGAAAAACACTGATTTGTGCTGTTCAAAAGAGCACCATTTAGCTGACTTGGTAATATAATGTTCATCTTTTCCAGATAGTAACCCTACTAGCTGGGTGATGGGAGTTAATGTCTCATATAGTTGGAGAACCCCAAGTTGGGGAAAGCTGAGCTAGATTCCCTGAAACATTTCATAACTAAGGCAGGATAACTCAAAAGTAAAATCTCCACTGGCTTTATCCCCAAAAATGTGTTCATGTTTTCTATGTCCATTTCACCAAATCTGTGTCAAAATTTTGGAGGAAGGCAAAACAAAATAATTTGTCCAAGCAAGAGAAGGGAAATTTTTACATGCTTTATTAGCCAAGCGTTCAGGTGTTTAATTCAAATAAACTGCTTCTGCTCCAGAGTAAGATAAGAGACAAAATCAATTAGCAACATATAAATTCCCCTGAAATAAATGGGAGTATAATCCTAAAGTAAAGTTGAATCAAGATAACAGGACTTGTGCCCAAACCCCATTTCAGTGGTATTGTTTCTGCCTGATATGCTAAACGCCCCAATTATCTGTCTGTGCCTATTGCTTGCAACACGAAAAAAGGAAAAGAGAAAAAGGGCTTACCAAAGCACAGACCACATTTAGAAAGGAGAAACAAAAAGCAACTCCTAGGAAGCTGCTTAACTGGCTCAATTCCTCCATCCTTCTCAGAATCCTGGTGCCATCCAAAGTGGGGAGAAGATTTTTTTATTGTCCAGTTCAATGCTTTCTTGAAGGAAGAGGAAAGTATTTTCAGTACATAAATCCAAACTGAAGTCCTGTGGATCTAGTAATATTGGCATGCAAGTTCATCCACAGATGAACTGCAGAAGAAGCAGCCTTCTTCAGCAAAAAAACCCAGTTTGATTTCCAAATTTCTGGGACACCAGCATTCATTTAACTGATAGATGGTGCTGAGGCTGCTGCTTAATTATGTTCAGTGTTCTCTCTGCTTGGTTATTTAGCCTGCCCTCTCTGCTTATTTGGGGTGTATTTATGACTTCTCCTGTCAGCCACTCCTTTTCTCCACGAGAAAGAGACAGAGAGTAGGTAAAGAGTTTCACTGTGCTGGAAAAGGAAAACCACCCAGCCAAGCTGAGTCCTAGGTTCTGTTTCTTAGCCTTTGCAAGTGTTTGGCTGACTAGCCAGCTTTTCCCTTTCCAATCCGATGAAGCTCTTTATTTACTCTCTGTCTCTTTCTCATATGCACTCAGGAAGAAAAATGAATTGCTATGTGGGGTTTCCTGGTTTAGAATTAGAGGCAGAGGTTTCTGCCTGTTGATATATAAAATGCGATGGGGGTTCAGCCGAAGGTGTATGGAGATTCTCAATCATCCAGGTAATGGTTATCCCAAAAGTACTTTTTCCAAAAGCAATTGGACTTTCTTGGGTTTTGGGGGTTTTTTTTTTAAAACGTTTTGCTTCTCATCCAAGGAGCTTCTTCAACTCCAGAAAATGAAGAAACTTCTTGGATGAAAAGTGAAATATTTTCAATGAAAAAAACAAGAAAGTCCCATTGCTATTGGAAAAAGCACTTTTGGGGTGTACTTCACCCTTTCCAAACTCCAGAAATCATTGGATTACAAAGCCTATATCTCCAGGCATCCCAGACAGAATACAGCAGTAATAGATGTAGTCCAATAAAGGCTCAAGCTCAGAAAAGGCAATATTAAAGTATAACTGTAGCATTACGAAGCTATGGTCTGTTTAAATGTTAACTGAGGTCCTTCAGTTATTCATGTCCAGACAGTCACTCACACATGTGAACTATTGCAAAACCACTCAGAAGCTGCAGCTGGTGCCAAATGCAGCTGTCAGCATTCCAGAAAGTCCCCAACTCCAAGTAAAAATTCTGAGGCAAGCATTTCTCAAAGTTCCATTTTATTAGAGTAGGTATACTGGCACATCTGGGAAAACCCAAATCTGAGGGTTCTGGGTTTTCCCTCAGTAAATCAAAACCCCAAATCCAGCCCCTTCCACCCATCAGTCTGTCACATGGTCCAATCATCATCCGTCCCAACTTGAGCCATCCCTGCAACCATTCCTCCTCTAGAGGCATAAACACCATGGCCTTGACCGAAGGGAAGAATGCTATTATGTCTAACTATATTCACTCTCCTAAATCCCCCCTCCTACTTTCCCAGGCACATGAAATTGGCAGGATAGAAGCTTCTGGTGCCAACATGGCTTCCAAAGCTGACAGCAGCAATGCAGGGAATTAAGGGCATGCCATAATATGCTTCTGTTTCATTGAGCTTCACTGGTTAGCATCTGGTTACTAGATACAATTCAAGATCCTGGTTATCAGCTATAAAGTTTGTTATGGTGTGGGCCTGGCTGTCTGATGGACAGCTGCCTTCTATCATTTCTACCCATCCGGTACAGTTGGACAGAACTGCCATGCATTAATTAAATGAAGTCATCTTCTCTTCTGCAGTGCCTTCCCCTGGAATATCATCGACCCATAGATCCATGCAGTCTGTACATTGATCTTGTTTAAATGTGCTCTTGGCTAGTGTGTGTGGTGGGCATCTTATACGAATTTTTTCATGTTCAAATTATGTGTTTTATTGCTCTACCAGAACATTTACCATTCTTCTTTAACTGCTACATTGTTTTCAACAGTTTAATATTGTATGCCTATTGTGGGAGTATTCAGTGGGCTTAGAAATGTGATAAATAAATAAATATTGTTTGAATAAGTTACAATTAGTTGGACCATATTGCATGCTAAGTCTGAAATAAATCTGATCATATTTCAGTGTGTTATGCGAACACAACCTCAGAATCACACCTGCTATCTTGACCCCAGAAATGTCTAATCTCTTTTTATCATTCTTGATGTCACTCAGTCCAATCTTCCTGGTTTGAAAAAGGTACAATGGAAAACACCCATCTTTTTTGCCTTTTTACTGCTACTAGTGAAAAGTAGCAGTAAATGTGTTGAATGTTTTTCCTATGGATCACTAGTTATAAAAAGGTTAACCCTTGTCCATCAAAGGATCCATTTGTCCTGTTACGAATCTGCCTGATTTTAAAGATTTGAAAAGTGCCTCCTGCAGAAACTCCTTTATCCAACATCACAGAAAAAACATACGCAACTCCCTTCTGAACTAAAATACTACATATCCATTCTTTTGATCTCACATTTTACATTTTTGTTTTATGTGTTCCCTTTTATCCTATCTAGAATGATTTCCCCTTCCTGGATTACTGCCTTGTCATGGCGAAGGGCCTTGCATAGCCCAATGAAGCGATGAGCTATGCCGTGCAGGGCCACCCAAGATGGACAGGTCATAGCAGAGAGCTGAAAAAATGTGATCCACTGGAGAAGGAAATGGCAACCCACTCCAGTATCTTTGCCATGAAAACCCCATGGACAGTACCAAAAGGCAAAAAGATATGACACTGGAAGATGAGTGGAAGGTGTCCAATATGCTACTGGGAAAGAGCAGAGGACTAGTACTAGTAGCGCCAGAAAGAGTGAAGTGATTGGGCCAAAGCTGAAAGGATGCTCAGCTGTGGATGCATCTGGTGGTGAAAGGAAAGTCCGATGCTGTAAAGATCTATTCTCCATAGGAACCTGGAATGTAAGATCCATGAATCAAGGCAAGCTGGACGTGGTCAAACAAGAGATGACAAGACTGAACATCGACATCTTAGGAATCAGGATGGACAGGAATGGGTGAATTTAATTCAGAGGACCATCAGGTATACTACTGTGGCCAAGAATCCTTCAGAAGAAATGGAGTAGCCTTCATAGTCAATAAAAGAGTAGGAAAAGCAATACTGGGATACAATTCCCAAAATGACAGAATGATCTCAGTTCGAATCCAAGGCAAACCATTCAATATTACAGTCTGAAGCCACTGGTGTTGAAGAGGATGAAATTGACAGGTTCTATGAAGACCTACAGCACCTTCTAGAATTAACACCAAAAATGATGTCCTTATCATCACGGGGATTGGAATGCTAAAGTAGGAAGCCAAAGGATAACTGGAATAACAGGCAAGTTTGGGTATGGAGTACAAAATGAAGCTGGGCACAGGCTGATAGAATTTTGTCAAGAGAATACATCAGCAAACACGCTTTTCCAACAATGCAACAGACGATTCTACACATGGACATCACCAGACGGTCAACACAGAATTCAGATTGACTATGTGCTCTGCAGCCAAAGATGGAGAAAATCTATGCAGTTAGTAAAAACAAGACCGGGAGCTGACTGTGGCTCAGATCATGAGCTTCTCGTTGCAAAATTTAGGCTTAAATTGAAGAAGGTAGAGAAAAGCACTGGGCCACTCAGATATGAACTAAATCATATCTCTGATGAATATATAGTAGAGGTGACAAATAGATTTAAGGAATTTGATCTGTTATACAGAGTGCCTGAAGAACTATGGACAGAGGTCTTCAACATTGTACAAGAGGTAGCAATTAAAACCATCCCAAAGAAAAAGAAATGCAAGAAAGCAAAATGGCTGTGAGAAAGCTTTGCAAATAGCTGAAGAAAGAAAGGAAGTGAAAGGCAAGGGAGAAAGAGAAAGATACACCCAATTGAATGCAGAATTCCAGAGAATAGCTAGAAGAGATAAGAATGTCTTCTTAAATGAACAGTGCAAAGAAATAGAAGAAAACAATAGAATAGGGAGAACCAGAGATCTCTTCAAGAAAATTGGAGATATGAAGGGAACGTTTCATGCAAAGATGGGCATGATAAAGGACCAAAACGGCAGGGACCTAACAGAGGCAAAAGAGATTAAGAAGAGGTGGCAAAATTACACAGAAGAACTATACAAGAATGAGTTTAACGTCCCTGATAACCACGATGGGGTGGTCACTGACCTCGAGTCAAACATCCTAGAATGTGAAGTCAAATGGGCCTTAGGAAATTTGAGCAACAACAAAGCTAGTGGAGGTGACAGTATACCAGCTGAGCTATTCAAAATCTTAAAAGATGATGCAGTAAAAATGTTACACTCAATTTGCCAGAAAATTTGGAAAACTCAACACTCTAATGGCAGAAAGTGAAGAGGAAGTAAAGAGCCTCCTGATGCAGGTGAAGAAGGAGAGTGCAAAAGTTAGCTTGAAACTCAACATTAAGAAAACTAAGATCATGGCATCTGGCCCTCTCAATTCCTGGAAAATAGATGGGGAAGAAATGGAGATAGTGACATATTTTATTTTCCTGGGCTTCAATATCACCGCAAATGGGGACTGCAGCCAAGAAATTAAAAGACGCTTGCTCCTGGGGAGGAAAGCTATGGCAAATCTAGACAGGATACTAAAAAGCAGAGACATCACCCTGTCAACAAAAGTGTGTATAGTCAAGGCTAGGGTTTTCCCAGTTGCAATGTATGGCTGTGAAAGTTGGACCATAAGAAAGGCTGAGCGCCAAAGAATTGAGGCCTTTGAACTATGATGCTGGAGAAAACTCCTGCGAGTCTCTTGGACTGCAAGGCAATCAAACCGGTCAGTCCTAGAGGAGATCAACCCTGACTGCACTTTAGAAGGCCAGATCTTGAAGATGAAACTCAAATACTTTGGCCATCTAATGAGAAGGAAGGACTCACTGGAGAAGAGTCTAATGCTGGGAAAGATTGAGGGCAAAAGAAAAAGGGGACAACAGAGAATTAGGTGGCTGGATGGAGTCACTGAAGCAGTCGGCGTGAGTTTAAATGGACTCCAGAGGATGGTAGAGGACAGGAAGGCCTGGAGGAACGTTGTCCATGGGGTCGCGATGGGTCAGACATGACTTCGCAACTAACAACAACAGAATGATTTTGTTGTTGGGTTTCATTTCTTAAAATGTTGGTCTTCATTTTCTAATGGGTGCCTCTTTATTTGTTACCTCAGAGTAACACTGAAAGCAATAATAATGATAATTATTATA